GCGGTTAAACAATGAGAAGTTACAACTTCAGATTTCTAAAATGAACGCTGGGAGCTCCAGAGAAATTTTAAGCTCGACAAAAAAAACTTCTCAAAGTGACTAAAGAAGTAGCGAAAACTTCCGTAAAAATCCATAAACAATCTCCAATAACAGTATATGGTGTAAATGATTTTAAACAATCAATGTTTAATTTAAAACTCGAAGAAGCTGAAGGATATGAGCAACAAATAAAAACTTTGGCTAATGATGAAATTAAAATACTAACAGGCGACGAACTAAAAAAGAGCAAAAAGTTGAGTATCACAGATATCAACTTAAAACAGAAAAAAGTTTCGGGTGGTAATTGATGGATTATAACCTGAAACTGACCCCTATGACAATAAAAGCGAATTATCTGAGTTAGGACATTTTGTACTTAATGTTACGAACATTCAAATTTAAAAAAAAAGTCAATCTTAACAACAAGCTTAGTAATCGAATTATCGTAAGGCTTCCATTATTCTTTGTAGATCTGGAGCTACAAGCAAATAACAAAGACATTTATGATATTAAAAACTTGTGCTATCATATAATAAAAGTGGAACCCCCAAGGGAAAATAAAAAAGTTCCACAATGCAAAAATTGCCAAATATTTGGTCACACTCAAAACTACTGTTTCAAAACATCAAAGTGTGTAAAATGTAGTGAAGGACACACTTCACTAAATTTCCCTAAGTCTAAGAAATCAAAGACGAAATACGCAAATTGTGGTGAAGGCCATACTGCAAATTGGAAAGGATGCATTACTTATAAAAATGCAATAGAAAAAGCTAACCTAACCAAGACATAAAGTAGACGACAAAGTTTATTGATTTCTTCCAAATACTCGGTAGCAGATTCATTGCTGGAGGAAATTATAATGTCAAACACACCTTTTGGGGATTAAAATTGATTACCACCAAATGGCGAGAATTGTTCAAATCAGCAAATATAATTAAAGCACAATTCATTTCAACTAGAAAACCAACATATTGGCCGACTGACCCAAATAGGACTATTGGAACTTACGTCCGATCACATTTCTGTTCTTCTCTCACTAAGCTCTGATGTGATAATGAAACAAAAAAAAAAAAAAAAAATTTCTAAACAAACAAAAAAACAAATTGGGAATTATTCAGAAATACCCTCGGAGAAAACATAATACTTTCAACTCGATTAAGAACAATAACAAATATTAAAATTGCAGTAAAAAAAATAACCGATGACATTTTTAGTGTGACGGAAATAGCAACTCCGGTAGCTAACAATGGTAATTACGAGTTAACTTACCCACTAGAAATAAGAAAACTAGTCCAACATAAACGTCGAGCGAGACGAACATGGCATAGTACACGAAACCCAACGGATAAAACGGAATGGAACCGAGTTAGTAAAATTCTTCATGACAAAATAAAAAAAATGAAAAATGAAACATTCAAATTATACTTCTCTCTGCGACAGATAATACCTATTATTTGTTATGGAAAGCCACAAGACTTATGAAGAGGCCCCGTGTTTAGGTACCACCCCTCCGTAAGGAAGGGGCACGTGGGCACGCTGTGAACAAGAAAAAGTAGAAATATATACTCGGTACCTTGAACATGTATTTATGTTAAACACTATTAACTCTGAGCTCGACATTTTGCAATGCCAACCACTTAATGCAGCACGTAAAAAAATCAAACATTTTTCGCCGTTAGAAATTGCTAAAGAAATAGATAACAACTTAAACCCAAAAAAAAAAAATCATCAGGATATGATGGAATTAGTTCAAAAATTCTGATAGAACTTTCAAAGAAGGCTATCATTCATCTCACACACATATACAACGCAATTTTGCGCACGGAATACATTCCAGAACAATGGAAAAGGGCACAAGTTATCATGTTGCTCAAACCAGGAAAACCACTCGAAAATGTCCCATCATACCGACCGATATCACTCCTTTCAAGTTTATCTAAACTTTTAGAGAAACTTCTGCTTAAACGCCTAAAACCGTTTATAGAGGAAAAAAATCTTATATCAGAACATCAATTTGGATTTCGCAACAAATATTCAACAATCGATCAAGTACATCGAGTTACTAATGTAATTAGTAAAGCTCTTGAAGAAAAAAAGTTTGTTCTGAGTGTACTGAGTATTCCTTGAAATAGCCCAGGCTTTTGACAAAGTCTGGCACAAAGGATTCCTCATCAAACTGCGTGATCAACTACCACATAGCTGGTGTGCACTTCTTGAATCATACTTGACCGACCGTCAATTTCGAGTCATACACGAAGAAGCGATAACCGAATGGAAAGATATATCAACTGGAGTACCGCAAGGTAGTGTTTTAGGACCTATACTGTACTTACTCTATACGGCTGATATACCAAACAATGATAACATAACATTAGCTATGTTTGCCGATGATACGGCAATTCTGTCAACACGTAATAGTCAACTCATTGCAACTGATAACTTACAGAGGTCAATTCACAATATCTTTGCCTGGACAAGACGTTGGAATATTAAGAACAATGGTGATAAATCGGTGCACGTTAACTATACGTTACGCAAAACCAAAAACATCCAAATAGTACTGAATCAATCACCAATCCCACAAAAAGATTCAGCAAAATATCTTGGAATGCACCTTGACTCTCGTCTAAACTGGAAACATCACGTCCGTCAGAAAAAAAATTCAGATTAAAGAAAAAAATGCGAAAACTTTATTGTTTAGTCGGACCTCACTCCGAGTTAACCATCGAAAACAAATGTCTACTATATGTAGCAATTATAAAACCTATCTGGATATATAGTATTCAATTGTGGGGTTGTACCAGTAAGTCTAACATCGATATTATACAACGCTGTCAAAACATTGCTCTTCGGACCATCACTGCAGCCGACCGGTTCAAAAGAAACAACGCAATTCACTGTGGTTGGTAGAGACATAAGAAGAGTTTGGTTGAGTAAGGATTCTAAATGCAACACGCAATCACTGTTTAGAATATTTAGATGGGGCGTGAATCTGTTTTCAAGATCTATGGCAAATAAATTTACTTTATCTAAGTTAGAGACAGCTAGTGAGTTGTCTGGGTAACACAAGGGAGTAATTTTGGTTTTTACTATGAGAATATTTTTTGTTACTTTCCATAGTGAAGTTCCATAGAATTGTTAATAGAATTTAAGTAATCATGAAATTTATTTGAGTTAAATTTACGCAATATATTTTTAAGGTTAAGGGAAGTAGAAAAATTATTATAAATTCATTTTTCACTAGGCAAGTGGGTTGCTTGCCATTTAGCGTGGGATCGCCGTTTTTCACAAATTAATTAGGAGATGTGTTGAGGTATATGTTTAGTAGTATTTTGGATATCGCTGGTAATAGTGGATGAGTCAAGGGCTACTTTTCGAATAAGATAAGTAGATAAATGAACAGTTGATTCGATATCAGATGGGGATTTAAGTGATGTATTTAGGTTGATTTTGTTTCTATAATATTGCGAAATTTCGTCCAGTTAGTCTTACCTGGTGTTAAGGTAGTATAAGATTTGGTTGTATAGGAAATATAATTTAATGTTAGAATAACAGAAGTATGGTCTAAAGAGAGATCTAATGAATCATAAATTTGAAATGCAACGTGGTTTGGGAGGGTGGTGATGAAAAATTCAAGGATGTTTGGGAGTCCGTTAATATGTGTGGTCTAATAGGTTGGATTATATTGGGAAATTATTTTTAGCTTATTATTTATAATGTAATTATTTAAGGAACGACCCCTGGTGTTTATTAGTCTAGAGCCCTATAAGGGATGTTTGGAATTGAAATCGCCTCCTACAAGATAAATATTTCATAGAGAAGTAAAATATTCGCGAAGATCAAGTGCGCTCAGTTTATGTTGAGGTGGAAAGATTTTAAAGATTAGGAATCGCGATATGATTCTACTTAAAATTTTTAGTTGGAAAGCGTTTTTAATTTTTATCCTTAATTATATTTTCAAATTTTTAAATTTATGTGTGTATATATATATATATACTATATACAATATATACTATACTACATACTGTATCCAATCAAGTAAACGTATTATGTATATTATACATAATACGTTTACTTGATTGGATACTTATATTTGTATTATAATATAAGGATCAATGCTTTAGATTTATTTAAATTACATTTTAATATATTATAGAACAATTAATTTTTGTTTAAACTCACAGTGGTTAGAAACAATGGTTCATAATTACAAACATTCTAAACGAATAAAATTTAGTTTAATACTTTGAAATCAATCTAAAGGGGCTAAGGGGCTTTAGCTCCTTCTTTGAATGTGTTATATTTTATATAAGTATATAATAAATACTTAATAGATGCCTTTAATTGAAGATTGGTCGAACGACTAATGAATTTATTAATTATTTTGTATTTTATAATTTAAAAATATATTATAACTAATATGCTTATATATTTACTGAAACTATATATTTTGTCTTTCTGTAAATACAAGTTATTCCCACTCCCCATTTCATATTTCTAGATCCACCCTTATTTGGAATTAAATTATTATTCAACCTAACATTTATACACAGTTGAAAATAAACGTTTAACAATTATTTTTAATTTTCACAACTGATAAAATATTTTCAATCGATATAAATAAAAAATCAAATGTGTACTTTGGAGTAATAATATTTATCATAAATATTTAAAAATAATTTCTAAGAAAGTGGTATCTATTTAAAAGATATTATTTTCCACAGCTTTTCAAAGATTTCAATTATTATAAATACGATAAATTAGTTATTAATATTATATGCTTGTACAGTATTACAAATAAATATCAGTGATGACGTAGAGAACGATAAATAATCTATTTATAATACAGTATATATTAAGATATAAGTAAGTCATATTGGACAAAATGCAATTAATATTCAAACTAACATTTTTATATAAGAAGCTTATAAACAATTAATACAATATTAAATTAGCATGAAAAAACGTCTTGTTTTTTAAGCATTGGTACGGAAAAAATAACTTTTGACACATAGTTTTCAACAAGTCTAAAAATGAATATCACTTAATTTCTAGGAAAAAAAAGATATTTTTATAAATTATTATTTCTGTTAATTATTGTCAACCTTTAGTTTAACGTTGTATTATGCACGTTCAAAATTTTTTTTATAATCCTGAAACAATATTAATAAGTAATTTAATACATTTTTTAAAAGTAGTGATCAATACATAGCATTTATAAACTACAAATCAGACGAACCTTTAACATTTAGAGCTTCTTGTACCAAAATAAGTAGTGTTCACCATTTTGCACGATTAGATCATCAACACCAGTCGGGGCTACTAGTTGATTGCTCGGAGGATTTTGAGGATCAGGACAGGATCTTAGTTTATACAACAACCAAAAATGGTAACTCATCGGCTCCTCCTTAAGTCCTGATAAAGTATGTACATAGTGACCATTTGGCCATTCTGTAGCTGAAAATCTGAAAGAAAAAAAGATTTATCTACCTTATAGTATCTGAATTTAAATAAAATAATGTAGTTCCATTTATATAAAATCAATCAACATAATCGGACAACGTTTATGCACAGAGCACTATAGTATTTTTGAAAGATGTAATATAGGTAGAGTGGCGTACGAAGGGGGGGGCTGAAGCCCCTTCCCCATTGCCTATATTATTATTTTAGTTTTTAAATCTACCAACGATATATAATATAGTATCTCAAAGCGTGTATTTACCGATTTATTAGAATCACGAACTTAAATATTATTAAATATTATACATATCTTAGTCTGTGATTACGAACATAACCCATAGATGGGTATTTATAATCTATAATTAAAACTGATCATAACTGTTAGCAACAGTCCATACATCGTTAATCTAGCCAACATTCCAAAGATCAACCATGACGGAGGACTGTCTTAATAGATAAACTTTAGCAAATATCATTAATAAAGAAAATCTAACTGAATTGAAAGTTCTACAACAATTTTCAAAAACATCACCTAAGCGACTACAACTATTAGACTGAACTAAATAAAAATGTATTTTATTGCCCATTATTTTTATTATTTGTTCATTTTTTTTTCACATATTTTTGTTTATTTAATGCTTAATTTAAATAAGAAATAAAAAAGCAACTATTTTATTTTTTAAGCCAATGCTTCTGTTATAACTGAGTTATTATTTATTTTCAATCCCCCTCCTCATTGTAAAATTCTGCGTACGCCACTGGGTAGGTAGGCATAATTTACGTAGTTAAAAATAATTCAATAGCATACGTAAAAGCGCTGTCCAGATCAGACGCCCTTTGCATTATCTCATAAAACGTAACGTTATGATCAGCCGTGATGTTGATGGACCGTTTTTCCGTGATGTTACTGCCGATCCACAGCGAATAGCTGACTGTAACGTTGTTACCACTGTCCGACATCTGAGGTGGTGGTTTGTATTCGTCCGTGACAAACGGTTCACTTATGTTCACAGCCACGGGACGGTTGACGTCGACAGCCGACGGATGCGGTATGATCACTGCAGTGCCTACGTTGTCTTTATCTACATATACGACCAACGAAGATTTTTTTTAGCTATTTCATACACGGGTATACTTGATATTCACGAACGCGGAATGCTGAACACTCACCAGCTCCGGGCCGAACTTCGCAGTGATCTGCTATACCTTCTGCGACGCCAGAGACTCGTGCCAAGGCAATTATTACTTCGGCCGTTGTCGCGACATCGAAGAAAGCCCCATCGGGCCCTTGATGGTTTAACAACCAGTCAATAGCATTTGTCCGGTTCCATATGGCTTTTCCTTCTTGCAACGCCTGAACGGATAACACCACCGACGAATTAATAACATATTTAATATAGGTAGGTATGCGCACGGCGGAACCATGTGCGCTGTTAGTCTAAATCAGTGTTTCCCAAACTTCTTATCTTTACCGCCCAATTTCAAAAAAAAAAAATTCGACAGACGTCCCCTTAAAAAAATATTGTTACAAAAGTATTTAATGAAAAATGAAATTTATTATTTATAAATATATATATATATATAATGTATAGGTACAAATGAAAAAAAAATATCTTAATGAGATGGATAAGGTTGGTGTTTTGCTAGAAGTTCGTTGATATTAGTTTTGATTTTCATAAACAGCATTCTTAAGTACCCACGATTAGTTGTTTGTAACGGTTGTTTTTTTTAGTTAGTAGATTGGTTACTGCACTAAATCCACGTTCAACCAAGTAGAATGATGGAAATGCGATCAAAAATGTTTGTACAGCAGCCCACAATCCAGGATAAAGTATAGGTACCTATCTTCTTTTGTAGCCACAATACTTGGTAACCTTTCTTGAACCTCAATTTTAACTCCTCATTTGTAGTTACTTTTATAAATTCTTCTTATTTTGCAGAATCTATGGTTTCTATATTTGAAAATGGATCTAAAACCCATTTGGGGTAACATTTGGATATGCCCATTTTAAGAATACCACCCTCTTTTTGTAATGAAATGTCACCCAATTAAGTTTATAACTTCCATTGCCCCCTGGATAACTCTAGCGCCCCCAAGGGGGCGATATCGTCCACTTTGAGAAACACTGGTCTAAACAACGGTTCAGTAGGCATACTTACCCGAATCGCTAACGCGGTTGTGTGCAAACTGCCGAACCCTCCGTCCGGTTGTTGGAGCGCTATCAATGTGGCTAACGGTTTCTTCAGTAATGGCTTCACGTTCCGGTTACGGTGGTCGTGTTCAACACACTGGAGAGCTAAGATAGCAACACTCAATGAATCTGCAAACATAATATACATCGCACACGTGTGTCAGTTGGTTTCATCTTACGTGTAATTATTATATTATTTCATTATTCAAGTGGCATAATTTCAATCCTTATACCAATAACTAACCCACTGTGTGTTTCGAATTGGCTATCTCCATTAGTCTTCGTATATGTCTTTTTCTGACGTGTGTACCTGATTCACACGCTACCAGGCTGCTGTATGAGAAGTCTAAATCGGATATAGTATCGTGTTGTAGTAATGAACCTAAATAGTTATAAATACATAGATTTATTCCGACATCCAATCAAAAAATATATAGACGCAATTAATAAAAATCAACGGTATTAAAACCGTTTTTCGTTTGATTACTAAAACTTTATAATATGTAATTTTTACCGATCAGATCGTGTCCATGGAACTGCCTCGGATCGTGACAAGCACTGGCTAACGCCATTGAGTACGTCGCAATGTTGGATACGGTTAGCGCTTCGTCTTCGTCGTCTTGCTGTTGAAGGGTATCCGAATCTGGATCATGGTGTTGCCATAGTCTAGCTAAAAGCTCGATTTCCAATTGCTTGGCACTCAGTTCCCGTTCTAAGCGGCCTCCGGTTTTCGTCATTTCCATGGCCACGATCGCCTGTGCGGTGTCTGTTCCGATTCCCCATCCCCAGTCTTTGCCACGCTGTAAAGTTAACCAGTCGATGGCTCGTTGTAATTCTGTAAAACAATATAAAACTTATATAGTTCAAACTAATGAATGTCATTTGAAAAGAGGGGAATGTCTTTCACAGAACGTTTTTCACTGTGTATTATAGTAATCGCTCGAAGATAAATTATCAATTATTCAAAGCTTATAATCAATCATACGTTCAATTTTCAATGAGTTGTAAAATCTACTACTAATATTTTTACTTTTTTTTTATCCGCGAAAAGTTAGTTTACATTTGGTTACCAACCTAATTGGTTGGTGACTTTTTTATATAGAATGATAACTAGGCTTAGGGACTTCTAGCATTTGCATACTTTTTTTAATTATTGTTAAATATAGCAGAGTACGAAATAAATTCGTTTCTCGGTGCCATGATATCAGATCTAAAATTTGAATGTGCATATTTTTGCATATTTGATAGATTTTGCAAAAGAGTGCATATTTTAAAATTGTTATGCTTATTTTGCATATATTGACAAATGTTTCAAATTGTATTATTACTATTATTAAAATTAGAAACTATAGTTTCATATAACATACATACATATTTCAACCGATCGAAAAAAAAATGTACTAAGAGGACTTAATACTTCCAGTATTACGCTATCTGCAAACTACCTCTCATATTTCGTTATAATTTTTGTGCAAGTATAAATAATACTATAAACCTGTATCGACCGTATAACCCGCTGGATATCGACCGGATGTCGATAAAGATAATGGTCGATAAAGAATAATAGATTATTTGTTTAGTGTTCAGTTCAGTCGATTATTATCTGTCGTTTTTGTGTCTCGCAACCACACAACGTCGAATCATACGTATAACATTGTATGCGTATATTTTGTAACATTGTGTAATGCCTAAAGTACAAGTCTACGAGTAACCGACTACAAAATTTTGTTTGGGAGTTTAAAGATACATTTACATCCGATGGACACGTTTTATTTTGTGTACTATATGGTCATTTTTTTTTTTTTTTTTTTAATGCATATAAATGCATATTATAATGTATATTTTAATGATTTTAAAAGCATATTTATGTATTTTTTAGAGCTATAAGTCCCTAAGCCTAATGATAACAATACCATATTTTATGAATAAAAAATCCGTGCTGTTGTAAATTAAAGTACTAAATAGCAATTATTTTTTGTTGTAGTACAATACAAGAAATTAAATTATTAACCTGGATTTGTTTTTATTATATATATAATCGCAGGGAAAAATTGCCGAGAATTTTGAAATAATTTTAAATGTTGATATACGAGTAAAGCTTGATTTATTAACCATTATTAGAACTAGGTTTTTGAGGCATATGCATCTTTTTTTCTGATGTCCCGACCCATAGGTCTGTAAGAAATAAATGTGTTTCAAGCAGTAGTGGTGCGTGAATAAAATTTACGGGGCACTTAATTTTTGTATAACTATTGGTTATTATTAAATTTTTGATATCAAATTATTCTACTTCATTCTAAGTTTTTAATTTAAACTATAAAGTTAAATAGATACTGAAAAATTTATTGTTCATAGTTTCTTGTATACAATATTGTGATAGGTTTATATATATATATATATTAGGTACATAGTAATTCAATTCAAACTTTAATTAATATTTATTTTATAGATATAGATTTCATAGATAAATATTAATATGTTATTAATATTAATACATGTTCAATACGAATTTTTCCCAAAAGATGAAATTGTTCTTGATTTTACAAGTATATTTTTGAAATAACATGTTTATCTGCTTTTCTTATTATATTTTTTGTAGTTGATATTCAATCAAAACTTCATTCTTTTTCATCTCGAAAAAATACACAAATGAAACAAAAAAAGTTTGTTGTGTTTATTACAACCACTAAGCCACGTAAATTTATCATACCAACTATACACTCGATAAATATGGAGTCGGCTTTTTGTTTTTTAATTTACATTTTTCATCATACGTAAATTAATGAAAATCATTGTTTAATAATTCATCTAATGTACAATGTTTTGATTCCATTATTTCAATATTAAATCAAAAACGCTACAAAATCTTATGTACAAAATAACCCATTACACAAATATACGAAAGGAATAACGTGTCAGAGACTACATAGTTTCTCGTACTCCGTACAGTAACCATTATCGATAATGGTCCCCCCGAACTTTTATTTACCTCCTATCTATTAGAATTGAGACTGTCGTTCGAGTCTCAATCGTTTTACGATGCCGTCGTCCGTCGTTATCGCTAAATTCGAAAATAGCTCAGAACGTATTTTCATTGAATCATACGTATTCATATCACGATGGACATAATATAATACCAGTGTTGCCAGATGGTACGATCTTGATGGGGAAATACGATCTTTTGAGCCTCTATACGATCCCCCACCAGAACTATTGATAGAGTGGGAAACATACGATTTTTATAGAATAATTCAAAAGTTAACAATAATGATACCAATCTACCTATTTATAGATATTTTTAATATTTTTATTCTTCGAATTTAATATTTATAAAGTATGGTTATCAGTGATGTATTGTGTATTCGCGTGTGTGGTATTCCAGTATCCGATTTTTATTGTCAATTTTAAATTTTGTCAGTACTCAGTATAAATATTAGATCTAGTTAAAAATTGTTTTAATTACTTTCATTTATTCATCAAGTGGTTCACATTTGAATTTTTAACAATGAATCTCTCAGAACTTCTTGACTCATTCAAATGGGAGATTTTCCCACATCCACCCTACAGTCCCGACCTAGCACCAAATGATTTTCACTTGTTCCCGAAGATGAAGAACTGGCTATCACTGAGTGGCTGAGATCGCAGGCGGCGGATTTCTATGACGAAGGAATTTCGAAGCTTGTCCAGCGTTACGATAAGTGCCTTAATTTGTTTGGTGACTATGTAGAAAAGTAGCATTTCAGTCACTCTTTCAGATGTGTATAATAAAAAAAAATTTCCTGTACATAGTTTTTGTTTTATTACAAAACGTTCCTCACTTTCTGAATAACCCTCGTAATATAACTATGTATTTATTAATTTTGTATTTTATTTTTATTTGATTTGAAAATAATTACGTCGTTCTTAGTTTTGTTATTTTGTAATAAAAATTCAAATATAGATAAGGTTTATCTTAGACTTGTTCTTATTATCACGGTTTGATAGCGAGGACCGTAGGTCCGAGTCAAATGTTTTATATGATATTTTCGTTGAAAGTACGATCATTTTGAAGCTCCTATACGACCTTCTCCTTTTGAGAAATACTGGAAACACTGTATAGTACACACATACATATATATAGTAAATATAGTCGACAACAGTATATTATTTACACATAGATTACACAAATACTTGAAAATAATTTAAAAAAATTAAAACAAATTAATTTTTTCCTATGTTATAATTATTGGGGAGACGCCATCTCAAAGTTTCCCCTGACGCACCGCCACTGATTTCAAGTGATACTGATTACTCTATTGTAGTTTTAATTTTGCATATTTTTGCATTTTATGACAAATTTAACTATATGCATTTTTAAGATATACATTACTGTTTTTAAAGTAGTATTCATGTTTTTAGAGCATTTTTCAGAATTTATTTATAAAGTCTTAAATATTAGGGTGTCTGATTATGCATTTCAGTGTTTGTTCGCTCAAAATTTGCATATTAAGTACAGTGTACCATTAAGTAAGGTTTGTTATCTAATAAGTTGATAAACTAATAATTATGAGCAATCGACCCAAGTACTTATTTTATCAAAAATAGAACAAAATTTATATAGACGAAAGAAATTTTACTATTTACATGAGTCCAACGATAATATTAGCAAGTTATGAAATACATTTTTTTTTTTTTTTATTTATTTTATTACACAATCTGTAAATATATTATTTTTACAATAAGTGTAAGTGTTGTAGTAGGTTTATATAAAAAGACTGAAGACTTGAGCGAAGAACCCATCCAGTGATGGGACTTCTTTGGAGTTGCGGATGGGTTTTATTCAGTCAGGAGGTCCCGACACCATTTTTGTTTCAAACGTCGTCCAGGGTCACCTGGAATGCTGAGGGTGGATAAGTTTGAGATTAGAGGATTACGGTGGTTGGAGAGATTTGAGTGGAATCGTTTATACAGAGTTTTGGCTACGAGTTGAACTGTTGGAATAGACAGGTCCTTGTGGAGTATATCGTTTGAGACGTAAAAGGGGGCTTTGGTAATTTGTCGAAGGCATTTAGATTGGAATATTTGAATTTTATTTATGTTAGATGGTTTGGCTGAACCCCAAAGTTGTATACCATATGACCATACGGACTTAAGTAGCAGTTTATATATAAGTATTTTGTTGTTCAGATTGATGTGTTTAGATGTAAGGAGTAGACGTAGCTGACGGGATCAGTTATTCAAGGCAATACGTTTGGTATGGATGTGGTGGGCCCAGGTCAATGGACGATCCAGGTGGAGTCCAAGGTACCGGACATTTTGTGTGGGTGGAATGGGTATGTTATTGAGGGATATGGTAGGGCAGTTTCTAGGCCTTAGAGTGAATGTGCAGTGGGCTGATTTTGATTCGTTTATTTTTATCCCCCAATCTCTGTACCAGTTTTGGAGGAGATTTAAATGGACTTGAACGTGGTTGGAGGCTATTTCAGGGTCTGAGTTAAGCGCCATAATAGCTTTGTCATCGGCAAAGTCACCTGTGATCGTATGGTTGGTTGTTGGTTGGTCGGAGATGTATAGGTTGAATAAGAGTGGGGCTACTACGACGCCTTGGGGTACTCCAGCGTGGATGGGATTTATTTCAGATAAGGCTGAACCAGAGCGTACAGCAAAGTTCCTGTCTTCGAGGTATGATTTGAATAATAGATAGTAGTAGGGAGGGAATATGGATTTCAGTTTGAAAAGGAGGCCTTGGTGCCACACTTTATCAAAGGCCTGGACCATGTCTAGGAATGCGGCTGTACATATTTGTTTTTTTCCAGAGAGAATGAGATTTTGTCTACTAAGCGGTGGATTTGGTGTATGGTGTTATGGTTTGTACGGAAGCCAAATTGATTATTTGGAGTATTTGATTCGATAGTTGGAATAATACGTTTTAAGATAAGTTTTTCGAAAATTTTCGAGAAGAGTGGGAGTAAGCTAATAGGTCTATAGGAACTGGGGGTATCAGGAGGTTTGTTCGGTTTTGGTATCATCACTATTATTGAAAATTTCCATAGAGCAGGGAAGTAAGTTAGTCTTATTATAGAATTGTATATATGAGTTAATAAAAGTATGACTTTTTTGGGTAGTTGGGAAGCTATTTCAGCGGTTATTAGGTCGAAGCCTGGGGTTTTCTTTCGAACAGATTTGTCTATAGTATATTTAACTTCGCTTGGTCGTATATGTTTTGGAGGGAGACTCATTGGCAATGGACAGAGTAGAAAGTGATTTATTTTGTGAATTTGGGTAGTGAATAGAATATCGGCGTGCGGTTTGAATGTAGAGTCCAGATGGTGACGGAATATATTTGATTTTTCTATGTCGTTTATTGCCCATGTTCCATCTGCTTTTCTCAAGGGCGGAACTGGGGGTTGACTACGAAGTATTTTTCTGGTAGTTTGCCAAAGTGAATTGTCCCTTGAGGAGATACCTATTAGATATTTAGTGAAGTTTTCGGATCTAATTTGGGCAAGGTGCCTTTTGAGTTTATTCGTGAGATTATTGAAAACACGTTTGTCGGATGGAAATCTTGTTCTCTGCCAGGTGGCTCGGGCTTTTCGTTTTTCCGCTATTAAGGATCTGGTATAGAGGGGGAGGTTTTTGATGGTGCTTTTAGGAGTGGGAGGGGAAGAATAGGACCATGCCGTTTCTTGTATGGATTTTGTGAGGAAGTTAACTGCTTCGTCAATATCATTGGGGGATTTTAAACTTATGTTGAGGTTTATTTTGTTCTCGAGGGAGGATCTGAAGGTTACCCAGTCTATAGCGCCTTGAGTTAAAGTAGGTTTACTTGGTTTGTTTGGTGGCATAGTGTCGATTGTGAGGAGAACCGATGAGTGGTCAGAGCAGAGGTCATCTAAGTTGGTTACTATACTGTGAAGATTGTTTGGTATTTTGGTTAAGAATATGTCGAGAATGTCTGGGTTTTTCCTTCGGGAGATGGGCCAGTATGTTGGTGAGGGCAGAGCATGTATTTTGTAGTTTCGTAATTGCGTTAGGGTGTTAATGGTATTTCCGCGAGGGTTATTTGCGCGGCAGCCCCATTGTGTATTTTTAGCATTTATGTCGCCTCCGAGAATGAATTTTTGGCCAAGAGAGTCGAAGTAGTTTTCATATTGGGTTTTGGTGATTGTGTGGCGTGGCGGGCTGTACACTGCATGGATGTTTATGGGAATATTGTTGAGTGTTGTGCGGATACCACACGATTTCAAGTAATCTGTTTGATATGGTGGCAGGGGATAGAATAGCAAGGATGTTCTTATTATAATAGCAGCTCCTGCGTGAGCAGTGCCATCTGGGTGATTGGTTTTAATAATATTAAAACCTGGGAGATTGAGGTGAGATGAATGCGTAAAATGCGTTTCAGATATTAAGGCGATATCTATTCTATTATTTTGTAGGATGGCTAGTATCTCGTCTCTATGGTTTGTTAGACCATTTGAGTTCCAAGTTAGGATGAGGAGGGATTTTGAAGTTATTTTATTAGTTGGCATTTTTATTGAGGAGACTTGAGATAAGAGTGGTGAGAAGGGAGATAAGAGGATTTATGATTGATTTAAATTCTTCTATGAATTTAGAATAGGATTGTTCGTTATTATTTGTTGGAGCCGGAATATTATTGGGAGGAGGGTGACCCTCTGTTACATTTGCGTACGTACGTTGATTTGGTAGGTGTTCTTTATTTGATTGTTGGTGTTGGGTCTGGTGTGTAGAGTTGAAGTTGAATGGCTGCTGGAGGCTGGGTTTTATACTTGAGATGTTGGGACGTCTTTGTGATAGTTGTTTGTATATGGTGCATCCCCTGTAGTTAGCAGGGTGTGCTCCTTCGCACAGGGCACATTTTGCTGGGAGGTCTGGAGATTTTTCACAGGAAGAAGTGGGATGGTCGTTTCCACATTTGACACACTTTGGGTTGTGAGCGCAATATGTTCTAGTGTGGCCATATGACTGGCAGTTTTGACACTGAGGGATTTGGCGTTTTTTATGAGGTTCTTCTATTTTTACTTTTGTGTGAAGTAATGTAGTGATGGAGAAGATATCACTGTCGCTTCCTTGTGGATCGAGGTCGGCGAAGAACATGGGGAGTGGAGTTTTTGTTTGGGCGTGTTTAATGAAATAAATTTAATTTAAATATAGTTAAATAAAATGTAAATATTAATCAAATAAGTACTTATTTTGTTATTATTATGTTAAATAAATATAATTAAATATGTTTGGTAAAATTATTTTTATAATATAATTTTTAAACTATAATAAATACATTTTTTTACGCATTTTTATAGTGCATTTGTTATTAATTATTAATTGCATCATTGCTTAAAATTATTATTTTTTTTTTTTTTGTAAAAACTTGTTACACATCATTCAGTTTATATTATACACCTATATTTACTTAGTCTATCTTTATGTTACATGATATCATCCACTTAAACTCATATAGATAAAAAAAAGGTAACGTTATCTTTGAATTAATGCAAATTTTTGAAACGTATCGTAACCACGCCAACATCATTGACGCGTAATTATTTAGTGGTTCTCAAATTTTCCATCAACCGTCATCTACCCAAACAAATTCATACATAAATCACTCCTCCTGTCATTTTCCATGTAGTAAATCTTGTGAATGATGATTCATCACTGACGAATAACTAGTAAAAAGTTATTAATATAAACATAACATAAAATCAAGCCTCGGTTTATTTTGTCAATATAAAATCACGAATGATCACATTTCACTTCACAATATCACATATTTTTATTTAAAAACAAAAAAACAGTGAGAATAATACAATAGTGTATTTTTCTAATTTTATAAATAATATAAAGAAAAAAAAGTATAATTATCATCTGATAATGAATAAATATTTTCTTAAAATCAGAAATAATAATCTAATGTATAATATCTATGTATAATTTTATTATATGAGTGATAACTTAATTTTAAATTAAAAATAATTATGATTATTGTTTATTACCGTTATTTATTCATATGGTCTGAAACCTCGCCCATAAACGACACAGATAAGTGATGTATAAGTTATCATAATCGGTGTGCCAGTTTACTAATCATTAGTCCACAGTCGCTTATAAATCTAAGACTATAACAGTAAGGTTATATCGTATTTCTACATCAATATTTATGTTAAAATAATCTAAGTATCATGTCTTCATTATTAAATTCTATTATATTCCGGCTTAAATTGACACAAGTAGTAAGTATTAATTTAATTAACATTTATGTAGTATATACTTATACAATATATTATATTATGTTATTTATTTATTTCGTATGGAAATATACCAATTGTGTTAGATTGGTAATGTATTCAATCGCATCATTTGGGGAAAGGAAATGAAAGCATTTGATTATATAAAAGGTATAATTATAACTATACATTTCTTGTCAATTCTTCTCAATAAGCATACTTATGGTTTATTATTTCGAATATATTTTTGTTAATTATAATTTAAGTAATTTAAAAATATGTATTGTATGTATATTTTGATATATTTTGTTCTTAATATTTTATTTAAGTTATTCTAAGTTATTTTAATAACTTGAACCATATTAACTATTGAGAAATAGTATTTCAAAAGCATTTAAAATATTATTTATCTACACTTATTAAATATATATTCGGTAATTTTATGTATAATGTTTATATTCAAATTATACCATAATGTTTTTTTTATCATTATTGACATTTATGTTCGAGATTAAGTTTTTCAACTTTGTGAATTGGAGAAAGATATAAAATATTTTATCCATAAACTTAGTAATTTATTTTACATTAATTGAAAATAATTTTCTCATATGTATAATATGTTTAATTCAATATACTCAAAGTAAAGTTTATTTCTTAAATTTAACATAATCACCACAGTTTAAATTTGATGACATTTTATGTGAGTAATAGTTTCTCATCCATCAAGTTATGATAAATGTAAATAAAAGTTTTAATAAACAAAAAAATTCAAATGTTATAATTAAAACAAATAACTATTAGTTTTATTAAAGCCTACTGCTTTAAAGAAAAAATGTTATCTCCAGAAACATTATACGTGCAATGTTTTCTTAAAAATTCAATATTGATGAATATAATTGGGTTTAAACTTACTTTAAATAATATTATATTTTATAAACAACCTATTAAGTTAAATTGTGATTAAAATTAATTTATTTTTATTTTTATAAAGTAAATATATTTGAAAAAAAAAATTTAAATTAACTTGAACAAAAGCTACTATATCAATTATTTACACGCCTAAATTATTTTTACCTCTTTTAGTGATGAAATTAAGTAAAATAAAAATATTTATTTAATAGTTCTATTAATATAATGTTTTATTTTATTTTTATCTTTTTTTCGCCAATTCTTATATTTTATATTAAATCTGTATTTTTTTTTCTTTTTACATCTTCATCATTTCTGCCAAGTAAATATTTTATCTTTTCTAATAATCATAATTATATTTGTGTAATTATTTGGGAAGTATGTATTTGGGCAAGTTTTTAAAAATTGCGGTGTTTGAGCCATTTATCATAATGTTTTTGGGCGAATTATTTTAAAATATTGTTATGTGTTTAGGTGACATTTTTTAATATCTTGCAATGCATTTGGACAATACACTATTAATCAATTTTCCCTTTCATTTTAACAGACTTAGGACTGTCCGTGACTTCTTTTTTTTATTGGAGAAAAAAGGTAATTCGCCTCAACGCATTACGCTCAGTTATTTACTACAATTTATAATTTTGTAACAATCCTGTGTATATCAATATTGAATTTGTATACTATGTCTTTTGATGACCCACATGGTGGGCTTAATAAAGTTGTTATATAAAAGATTTAACAAATACTAAGTATTTTATACTATATGTACTAAGATCATAATTGGGTAATCGTTTCTAAGAGGGGAAAGGGTTGTGAATTAAAAATGAATACGTTATAATTTTGTTAAAATATTAAATATATAATTTCATTTAGCGCAGAAATAATACTGTCTTAATAATATAATAATATTTAGTACTTAAATTCACATTTAAACATTTTTATTACTAAATTTTAAAATTATTGTTCATCTTAATTCCAAGTATTTTACTAGGAAAATTATTTGTATGAAAAATTCTTTATTTCATCGTTTTTTATTTGAAAAATATATTCAAGTTAACCTATTCTGGATTGACGTCAGAATTTCTATGTACATTGGTAATACTAGGCCTGTTAATTTTTATTTTCCAATTGCATTCCATTGGTAATTTTTATATTTTCAGCGTCGACATTTACCTTATAAAATATTATCAAGAAATCAAATTGATGTACAGAAGTAAATTTATCAAATATTATACATTCTAGTCTACAATAGCTAAACGAACACATCCATTAAATTTATTTATTTGACGTATACCAACAATTTTAATTGATTATTCTACGCTGAATAAATTGGTTTCCTATACATTAGGTAACAAAAAAAATATGTCGGTAGGGGTAATTTGAACTTCCAAAATCTTTCTCAGTTATGATCTTGATACTGTCAGTTGACAATAATATTTTTTTCTAAAAAAAATAATTAATTATATACTAAATACAATCGAGATCTATAAATTATCATTATTTTTTTCAGATTCTTTCTCTTGGAAGTATTGTACCAGTTTTCAGTGAGATTTATGTTACTCTCTCGTTGTTGACTGCGGATTTTGTGCATCTAACATTATACGGGTACCTAGGAATCGGCATAGTTGTTTTAGCGAGTTTATGTATATCAGAACCTGTATCAGAAAAAGTGGTAAATGATCTACATATATGTACATATTATTCATCCTAAAATGCCACAATGTGTTGAATGAACTCAAAAGGCCAAAGCTTATTTATAAATACCTGAAAGTATATGAATAGTTAAATGCCTGTCGTCACAAATATTAATGGTCCTCAATAGAAACCTAGTAAAAATTGTTACTTCTAGTTATCTCTCTCTCAGTTTTATATTTGTAGTTAAAAGTTCGAATTTACTCTGTAAAATGGGCGATTGTAAACTCCACCAAAATATGGTTAAGATAAAAAGGTAATAACTGGTCTAATGTAAACTTCGCCAGTTTTTTTTTTGTGTTTTGCATGTGAATCCTTTCATAGTCATCTAAGAAATTCATTTTATAAAAGTCAACCGAATGTTCATATTTTTATTAAAGTTCTTACTGAATTTCAAACCCATACTTGTATAAAACTAAATGGCATATCTCAAGTAAATAAGCTAAAAAATTTAAAATAAAAGAAAATCACAGTGTTACAGGATACTATAAATATGTATGTAGGTACATTAATGCAGTGCTCTCAACTTGGGGGCCGTGGTTATATAACTAGGGGGCCGTGAAATATTAATTTAATTTATAACTCTTGAAACCGAATTTAATGAAAAAGAACTTACTAAATTTTGTTTAAAACGACAGCAGGAGTATCCTGTTATTTCGAAAACGGCTTTACTTATATTAATACCTTTCGTATCGACATATCTTTGTGAAACTGCATTTTCACAACTTCAAATTATAAAAAACAAACATATATCATGTATTTCACAACAGTTTTAAGAACCAAACTTGCGTATTTCAGTTTCAAATATCACACCTGACAAATATATTATGTGAAAATATATAAGCCAATCATCATGTTAATAATTATAAATTTTTTTATTTATTATTATTAACCTAGCTTTTGTTTGAAACCAAATCAACATTATGACTGAATATTTTTTTATTGCTTTATAGTTGTTCCGATTATTTTTTGTTTATATATGTTTTAAGTTAAATACAATTATAAGATTACATTTCAAAGATATATTAAAAAACATTAATTTTCTTTACATTTTAATTATTTATTTGTGTGAAATAATGCATATAAATTTAGTACATCATTAACAATAAATAATTAAAGATTTTGATTAAGGAGGGCCTTGAAAGTTTTACATTAAATTTAAGGGGTCTTATAATAAAAAACATTGAAAAGCACTGCACTAATAGAGTAATACAAGAATTAGAATATTTACAAATTGCATCACATCATTTTAGTTTACACACACGACATAACTATATATTTTTGGATTATTAGGTATAACGATAATTTAATATGAATTTTTTTCTATGATTTAAATATTTAATGAGGACGATATGATATTATATTATAATTTTTTTTTATAATATACCATATTCATTTTATACTATTACTTGATTTTCTTCACTGGGAGAGTTTACATGAACTCAATTTTACCTTATTTTTCAGTGGTGGAGTTTACACGAAACCAATTTTACCTATTTTTTCTTTTTGGAGGAGTTTACAGTGAAAAAAGGTACTTGTGGCGGAGTTTACATATTATAACATAACATACATATAACCCCTGTAAAATAGCCTCAAGGTTTTGCCCTATATTTAAACTAAAAAACCTTGTTTATAAAGAATTATTAATGATAATAACTGATGGTATCAAAAAATTTAAAGACTTTTATGTGTACACATTTTGAGGAAAGCTATTTTATTAATTACAATAATGTCTAATATAAAATGTTAAAACAAAATTTACTGGTAGAGAGTTGGCGATGATTGTGTAGGAACATCATTTAAATATTATACTTCCATTAAATAATATACATAATTAACGGAAGTTGTAATTAATTTTTTTATTCATGCAAATATGAGTTAACAATAATAATGGTATGTAGTATAATTGCCAAGTGCACTTGTACCTAATTAATTTCAATGTTGAACTTTAAAACATTTTAAGCTTGATTAATATTTTGTTATAAGAAAAATTTTCTTAGTATTATGTTTCTAAAACGATTGACATGATCAACATATTTACACAGTTTGGCACTATTTTAACTCAAGATTTTTTTAGTTATAAAATATATGAAAGCAAAAATTGAATTATAATGTATTCAAATTCATATGAATAGGAAACTATATAATAATTGTAAATAATATTTGCTTAAAATAGTTAAGCAAACTTTACTATTAGAATATATTATAAAGCTAACTTTACTAGTAATGTAAAATGCTAATAAAATTAGCGCATGGAATAAATACAGAAATGACCAAAACAATATCTGTGATTAATGGTTGAATTATACTTCTGTGAAGTATAATTTCAAAGCTTGAGAAGCAAACTATACTATAGTACATTATTATAATAATGTGTTTTAACTTCCAACTAATTGGAGTTCTGTTTAATGATTTTTGACGATTTTTTTCAAACACCTAAATTTCAGCATAAATTATTCAGGCGGCCAACATAAATATAAAATATTTTTGTAATTTAAAGATCATTATTGATATATCAGTTTTTATTCGATTTTTAAAAAATATATTATTCTACCAAAATGTATTTCTGATATTATTAGCATAGTTTTTCAGTATTATTTAAAATCCTATACAATTTTTACCGCCACTTAGACAGTTAAATTCCTAACATTTTTCATAACTATGTACTATAAAGCTCAGTAATATATTTTATTATAGTAGTGTTATAATTGAAGTTATATTATTATACTTCAGCAAGTACACATGAGAGGGGGTTAGGGGGTCAAACCTTCTCTCCCAAAATACAGGAAAATTATTATAATATCCTTATCCTTATATATATATATAAAAGAACAGGCCTTTCTTACGTACCCATTTTATGACGAAGCTATTTAACTTTTTTCCAATTTTTTTCACAGAATTGTTCCAAATAACTTCCTAAGTATCACTACGTCACCCGATTTTTAAAATTTTGATTTTAAAGGATTGAAATCGGTAAAAATAATTTTTTACATGCAATTTGTATATCTATATTCATATAATAATAACAGTTAACCGATTACGGTTGTTTTGACTTGTGTAGGATTATATGGAAAACCGCGTTATTTTGACAAACACAAATAACCGAGCTGATTCAATAAATTCGCTAATAATTAGTGGATTTCAAGCACTAGAAATGGATTACTTTTCTATCGATAGTTATTAATAGTGAAGAATCGGTACATTTTTCTACCGAGTTTTTAAATTCACAAACACCATCTGGTATGTCTCTTAAAAAATCACTGAAGGTGGTAGTTCCAATCATATTATTGAGAAATTTGAATTCTACTAGATTATTTAATGGGACTAGGCTCTGTGTAATCTCTCTTACAAAAATTATAATCGAAACTGACATTTTGACCGGATGTGCTAAGGGAGAAAAAATATTTTTACCAAAAATACCATTATATCCCAACGATTTTCCAGTTAAGTTTAGAAGAGTTCAATTTCCAATAAAAGTCTGTTTTGCAATGACAAAAAACAAAACCTAAGGTCAGACTTACTGTGGTATAGATTTGGAAAATAACTGTTTTTAATATGAGCAATTGTATGTGGCATTGTCTAAAGTTGGAAGACCTAACCATTTTTACGTTTATGCACCACAAAATAAAACTCAGATTATGGTAACTAACCTAACCTAACCAAGAGGTTTTGAATTAAGCCATATTAGAATTGAGCAACTACGTAAAGAGTCATTTGTAAATATTATTATTATTTTTTTTCGTTTAATTATAATTCAGTTACTACTACTATTAGCACTTGATAGCATTATGTAAAATAAATTTTTTTCTTCTTTAAAATACAAAAATGTATGTTGATTTAACAACTTCATTTTGAAAAAGCAAAAACTACACACGGGCGAAGCCGGGTAATTCAGCTAGTAGAGCATAAATGGTATATAGATTATATAAGTATGAAACTATATAACCAAAAATCCCCTCAAAAATATTTTTTTGTGTAAGCATCTGAATATACTAATATTAGTATAGCTCAAATTTTTAAATTTTTCGATAACCTTTTTTTATATATGTAGTTAAATATTAAAAAATCCATGAAAATATTTAAAAATAATTAGTTATTTGAATAGTTACCGTTTATAATTTTGAGTATTTTAGTTTTACACTTTTTAAAAATAAGAGAAAAAAAATATTTTCAAACGTGTGGTGTATACAGTATTTCCAACCATAAATTTTAAGATGAACATAATTCCAAATTATTGTCTTATCTTTCATCATATTAACTTCTCCGCTGTCTTAAATAATCATATATACCTAATATGACTAATACGACTATTATGCGATTTCTTAACCTGTTTTTTTAGATACTAAGTGAAAAGAGGAATATATTTTAATGTTTTATTGGTAGTAACACGAAATTTAAATACATATACATGTACATATATAAATATATATTAAAATAACTTTTTAATCGAAAATCTCCCTTCAATAATTTAACTAATTTGGATACGGGGACAGTGGACAGCAACCATAAACATATATGTTAGTACTATACTAATAATACCAAGTGCACGCAATGTGACTGCATAGGAAATGGGCAAAAAGGAAAAGGGACAAGGAACCCTTTATAAAAATTAATGAGTAATGAGGTTATAATTCACTGCTATAATTATTGAGCGAGGGAAAGAAGAAAGGGTTTCTCGCGTGACAAAACAAGAGAAAGGTGATTCTATATAATTTACCGGCATGGCGGAAAATCGAATGTACCCAATTATTCCCGCGACCCACACATACAGGCACACATGGATGCGCAACAATCGATATCATCCTCACAGGCACAATTTGAGGGGGATTAGAGTAACTTGTTTCCGCATAGTTTTATTTTAGTCCTCTTAATTATATTTATATTATTAAGTTATATAGTATAAGTTATATTCATTCTTAAATATATATTAATTATATTATAAAATGGTCGAATAAAAATATAGTAAATATGGGATTAGATAGCCAACCCAATAATTAGTGTAAAAACATGTTGCCGAATGATTAATGTCAGTGGCAAATTTAAAAGGGCAATAAAGGCCTTAACCTTCCCTCAACCCATTGTTCCAGGATCTCGGTTGGTTTTGTAAAAAAGTAAAAATTATAAATTTTAGAAATTTATAAAATTTAAAAATAATTTAAAAAGTTACTAGATTATTTTATCACCAATATTATAAGTACAATTAAATAATCTCATCTTTGTGCTTTTTTTTTTAAAAAAATTCTAGGTATTTTATAATTTTTTTAAAAACTTTGGGTACCCCTTCTTAAAAAAAAAATCCTATATTCGCCAATTATTAGTATAATAATTATACAGTGTATATTGTTAGTACCTATTTAATAAAAACCAAATAAAATAAAAAAGAAGAAAATAAGGAACGAATATGTGAGAGGTAGTATTGGTAATGTCGATAGTGGACAAGATGAGAGAAAAGAGACTGAAATGGTTTGGGCATGTGATGAGCTAATAGGAAACAAAAGCAGTGAGGCGGGTTATGAAATGAACATTAAAGGGAAAAGTGGAAAAGGAAGACCAAAAAAGAGATTGGATACAAATGACAATGATATGAGGACAAAGGTGGCCGACTCCAAATAGTTGGAAGAAAGGTGAAGAAGAAGATAATACCATTTATAACTCATGATCTGGTACATACATCATTATATAACAGAAACGGTGCAGATATCTAATAATCCATCCCATTATAATAATAAAAATTAAAGTATAAAATAGAAGCATCGCACATTAGCTATTTTAAGAATATGAATGTTATGGATATTATCGCAATTGGCTCGTCGACGCAACGGTTCATTAATCATATGATATAATTAACATAATATTAATCAAAATAAATTTAGGAAATCACTTAGGTTTTTTTTTTTTAATAATGTATTCTATGATTAAAATTGGGATTGTCTCTTTAAAATAATTGTTAAATATTCATGAATATGGATGACATAAAATATTTTCATGTACTTATATAAAACTAGAAAATATTTTTTAAAAAACATTAAGGAGTTTGTATATTATTATCAAAATGAAATGAAGATTTTAGTTATATGTTAAACAAAAAGAAAACTTACTATACTAATTGGTATAAAATGAGTTCTTAAATATGAATACACAATTGATAAAGCATACTGTAAAATAGAAAAATTGAAAAAAAATTCTTTCAAATATAAATTTATAAATATAGTTTTTTTTAATGTAATTTATAATGAAGCTAGGTTAAACTAATATTAAATTGAATATTTTATAATTTTAATATTTTTAATGAGTATTAATTGTAACATTATTATTTTTTAAGATGTTTCAGAGAAGAATAATCAACAATTAGGTAGTGTATATTATACTAAATAAATTGTAATATATAAAAGATTTTTAGGATTTATTAATGTACCTCAAAAACAGAACGTTAATTCTTCGTTAAGTGTAATTTAAAATTTCAACAAAATTAATGTATCAGGTTTAACGATACAAAGCAAATAACCCAAACTGAATATCCTGCTATCATACCTATTTTATGGCATATCATATAAACTTAGTTGTACTAGACATGTTTCAATTAGTAAAAGTAACATTTTTTAATATTAAAAAATAATAATTTATACTATTTAACATTGTGCATTGATTTATCATTAATATAGGGAACTTGTTTAGTTTCTAAGTTTCAAACTGTTTAGAATAATTGTATAAATATTTTTCCCACCCCACCAATGATATAAAATGTACTGAACCTGGGTATTAAAATATATAATACAATATAATTATATATAAATATATAAAAATATATAATTAGACTTGGGTAATACTTATTGGAATTGCCTGATAAAAAAATTGTATTACTACTAAACTAAATTGTAAGGCTATCATTGAGTTAGTGAGGTAGTAATACACCAGAATTTCCTATTACACGTGTATTAAAATACGGGTACAAGTGTTCTTAATTAAATGATGTTATTAGTCTGTGTAAATAAAATACACTGTTAAATAAATGTTGAAATCCGTGTACCCGTGTATTTGCTTAGGTCTTTGTATCCGTGTTATTGTTAAAATAGTTTTAAATCTATGTATTTAAAAGCCAAATACCACTCACTCACTGGTCGCAGTATCTCAAAAATTATATAACGTACCAAATAGAAATTTGGAAAAATGGTTCTTCTGATACTTTAACCCTGCCATAAGAAAAAAATGTTAAAAAATGTTGCATTTAAATGGATTAATTAATAATTATTATTCACCACTAATACGTATTAACGTATTAACGTATCAGCTACCTGGAACCTATCCTTTTTGTCCGTCGTGTAGATAAGAATTGTTCCGAGAAGTTAATTGTTAAAAATAATGTATGCAACATATCGACATTTTTTTATTTCTGGTATATATGATCCTTTTATTAATTTTTAATATATATCATCTGATTTAAACAAATAAAGTTTTTTTAATTATAAGTAATAAATACTTATACATTTTACACACAACATAAAAAAACTTATATTAATAAAAATAATTAAATATGACAATAATAAATATACTAAATGATTTTACAAAGTACATAGTTAAAAAATATTAATTATAGAATAGTTTTAAAATTTAAATGGACCTGTATTTCAGATATACGAATTCTTGAGTTGCATGTGAATTACACGTTATCCAGATTTATTATTATAATTTTAAGATTTTATTAAAATTATACGGGTATTCAGCGCCGGTGGGAGGTTTTACGGGGCCCTGGAAATTTTTTTCGTTAAGCCAAAATATATTTCATTAGACGCTCTAGTACTCGTATATCATGTTTTTCTATTATACATAAATTATGTAAAAATGGATATTATAGTTTATCATCAAAGCATCAAAAATATATTATTATTTATTAATTTATTATTATTATACTATTTATACTACAATAAAGGTACCTACTAAACATAATATTAAAGTTAGGGATTAAAATACCATGTACCTTTTCACATGCTAGAGGGGATTGTTATTTGATTTTAAAAATGATATTATATGGTAAGCTTACAAATTGTTAAATTCAATGTAAGGTGCAGGGCCCTGGGCAACTGCCCCTTCTGCCCTGCCCTTCCACCGGCGCTACGGGTATTAATACGTTCAAGGACTGATATATTTTGAGAGTATAAGACGTATATGTATATGATATATTCTATGGGAACGCCACTGATTTGGAGTCATTACGGTCAAAAAATAAATATCAAAATACGTGGAAGAAAATCAGTAATTTTTCAGAGTTAATTAGTCTAACTTATCTAGTGCTTCTCAATATTAGTAAATATTTAGTATCCTATATTAAGTATAGCCTAATTTTTCTATATTATTATTTACTATATAAGACATTACAAGCTGCCAAACAATTTTTATTTTTAGGATCTTGTAAATGTGGAAATAGATGTTTTTCATATAAAAATATTGGTAGTGAAATACTGTTTAACATATGCAAAATCAAATTTTGATTTTAAGTAATTAGCTACAGATTTTTAAATATATACAAACTTATATACTTTATTTTTTGTTTCTCACTATACTGATTTCTTCTTGTACATGTGATAGATCCATAGACTTATTAACTAGTTGATGGGTCCATGGGTAGATCCTTCTTAGTTATATTCTCAGGAAGATAAAAAAAATCAATAAAATATAAAAAATTATATACATGTCTAATTACCTATTACAGTTTTAATATAAAAATGTTGTCTAATAATTTTTTATAATTTTAAATGAATTAATATTTGGTAAAACAAAGTAAATTTTTATTTATAATAATAAATATTAAATTGATTATTTAAGTATATTAATCACAGTCACATGAAATGTTTTCTCCAATAAAGTTTAATTTATATACCTATTGTATTTGATTTTAATTTAAATTGTTTTTTCTAATGAGTTATATAAATTTAGTACCTAAATTATCATGTGTTAAACTATTATAATATAGATGACTACAAGGAAATTAGGAGTAAATACCCCCCCTCCGGATTTGTACTGTCCATATAATTTTATCTCTTCATCCAAATAATTTTCGAAAGTACATATGTTTACCCTGCTAATTGATAACTTCGTATTAAACTTTAATAGCCTAGCCAAAACTATTTATACGTCATCATGTTTAACCTAGATATTTTGCAAACTACAGCTTATCACCAGCTATCTATATACTCGTGTTTGTTTCGCTAATCACTCTTAATGATAATGTAATATAATTTGTAAATTGTAGTCTTTCATATATAATATATGCTTATTCACATAGAAGAAAAATAGAGTTTGCAATTTTGCGTTGATTTCTTATATAATATTATACTATTATAGCTATAATCAAGTCGTATGGTACCAAACTCAGTTCATATTAGGTATGTTATTACCATATTATTATAAGAATATGTCTTTTTGTATTGTCTACAGACTCTATATTCGTCGTCTATGGCTGTGTTCCTACATTTATTATCTGCGGTGTTTATCATCAAAGACGTGTTTGGTCAAGACTCGTATATGTGGGGACTTCGAGTCATCAGCGGACTGTGTACTGGAGCTAATGCAGTGGCTTTTGGATGGGAAGTGTTGTACATCATGAAATACATCCATCATTAATAGTTTTGCTAAACATTAAGAAACGGTCAATGTTTATAAGAATAACGCTTTCGAATGAGTGTTATCTTTCTCTTTCGAACATATATTGTAAGGGCTTATAATTGTTAAATAATTTATCAATGTACTTTTTATTAGAAATATTTCTATAGTGGTTATTATTTATTAATAGTATGGCTCTTGATTATTAAAAAAAAAATATTCGCAACTATCATTTCTCGCAGCACCTGTGTCGTCAACCAAATTGTATTACATCTAATCGCCCTCTCCCATGGCCCCACTTCACTAGAAGTATTATCCTCTAATGTGTTTTTCGTATGAACTCAGAACTCTACTCAACTACGGGTAAGTAAATCGCATTTATGAAACCTCTAAGGAGACGTTTCGCAGATTCTTAAAACAAAAAAAAATCTTAGTCGTACACCGACTTTGTGAAGATCAATTAGGCGTGATAGGATAAGCTGCGAGATCGGTACAAACATAAGGGTGCGCGTTTAACGTAACGGTGAATAGCTGCTATATAAGGACCCTTACCTGATTTGTCTTTGACTGCTTTTGAAACGCCGGCCAGACTGTCAGTCACCGCCGTCGTCGAGACCACAATTAAAGTGATGATGAGTGTCGAGGCAGCCGGTGGCCACCGTGGTCGTCGTGTAGCCATATGACTACGGTAGTGCGACAACGCGGTGCCCGGCCATTTGGGCATCGGGCGACGTACTGTGCGCGACACCGGTGGTGCGGTGTGGCGTCGAGAGCTCTCGACTAGTTGCGCCGCGTGCGCGTTCGATAAGTCACCGACGCGCTGCTGGCCACGCCTACCGGCAGTCAACGCGACGCCACCGAGAGGCATCTGTGGCGCCTGTACGTCGCCCGCCGCCGACCGACCTATCGACGAGGGTTAGATCGCTTTACTTTTTAATTTTCCCTTCGTGTGGCCGCCACTACTACTGTCATGCCAGCATGCTGCACCCTCTTCCGCTACACATCCGAGAGAATATAATTTAATAATATCCCTGTTTGCTGCAGTATCCAGCTCGACTTGCTTGCGGCGACGGTGGTGGTAGACCTCATAGTTGTAGGGGCGGCATATTTTGAGCATGATTGAAAATCAATTTATCCCGGCCCGGCAACAGAAATATGGTAGCAGCAGAGAGAAATGCTAAATATAATGTATTGAAAAATAATAATAAGACATTTAATACGATATTCCATTTATTGAACTATACATATAAATATATATATGAGTGTGGTGAGACGGTACATATAATATAACATTAAGGAAATATATGATCGAGGAGATATATCTTTTAAGGTATGACATTACTCTACTTTAACGTGATATTAACGACTTTCAGTACAGAATTTCCTTCGTTTTAGGAGTGCGTGAATTGCCGGTCATCATCTGTTTCTCCACCTCGTACACAGCGGATAAAACGAACGTGCAACTTTGCCATAGCTTACCTGCACAAGAATATAATCGTCAACGAATATGATAGTATCTTCATTGCGCTTACACCGTATTATATTATGTACGATTTTACTTCTATCAATGTCATTATAATATATTACAGAAGAATGCAATATTAGGTGCAAGCTTTAAAATGGTTAACGATGTAAGTATATTGTTTGTCATAGTTTATATGCATTTTTACTAAGAGGTATAATTAATATTCGTCTAATTTTTGATTATAAATATTATTTATAAATTATAATCAATGGTATAATGAATATTGATTACCATATAATACATTGCAGGGGTCACCGATTAATATTTTTGGAGTGCCTAATCGTGAATTTTGAACATTTTCGGGGGTCATCAAAATTTAAAACAAATATTTTTAACACATATTTTATAATGCAAAAAAAATGTTTGGCAAATTATATAAATTATACATTAAATACCGTAATGACATTTAATATAAAAACATTAAAAAACAGCTACGTCTGGTGGCAAATAAAACTTGGCAAGGCCTCTAAGCGATCTGATAAATAAAACAAAAGAATTCCATCTATTCAAACAAAAACTATCTATTTTCAAATTCAACTTCAATTCAACATTTTAAATTCTTTTCTTATACATAATAAAATAATAAATAAAATAATTACGAATATAAATTAAAATGAAACAAGTAATAACGTAATATAACGGAAATTAAGTCAATGAGGTTGGTGTGAATTGACGAACTAGTATAGACATGTATTCAGAGATGGTCAGAACTTAACCCATTCAAATTTTAAAATATAAGCGATATAATATGCTCGACAACTAGTAGAATATTTGCTTCGACTGGTATAAATCAATGTATGTATTTTGTTATCGATTTTCACTTTTTCTCATGTCTGCCGACCAGATACAATTTGTTCGCAGACCTCCTTTGGTGATCACTGTTATACTGTATATTATACTGTTATACTGTTATTATTAACTTTTATTTATTTATATGGTATATATTATATACCTATATATACATGACCGAAATTGCTAATAGTGAAACAAAATCTAAATATTAAACTGTACTTCAACCGTAATCACGAAAAACAAATTGCCTGCATGTATACTTTATTGCAATTTTTTATACGTATAACGAGTAAAGTATTTGATAGTTAAAAATTGATTTTACTGGGGAGTCTGGGGTGTTGGAAATATGTGGTTATGAATTAATTTAACATTAACGACAATATTTAATATTTATGGAGATAGGTACGTTTGATAATCACAAGAAAGTATTTCGTGGAAATAATAATAATGCGTTTTTTTGAATAATTTAAGACTTATAAAGTTCAATATAATTCCACTATCATTCAAAATTATTTTAAAGTAGTATTATAGAACTTATTATTAAACTTTCATACTTCATTCATACCCACAGTACTCACAACTTATTATTTATTATTTATGTTATATAGTGGTCGCGTGTTGTGTAAGATTTAAAAAATGCACGTGAATATTAAAAGTTAGTAATAATATTAATCTAGATAACACACTACTATAACTATGTCCCAATTGCGATCGTAGGTTACTTAATTTTTCTATGGTTAGGGTTTCTGAAACAATAATTATTGCATTACTCCAAAATAGTATTTTATAGTACGTATTTATTTGTTGTTTGTTCTTGTAAAATATACTGATTTTATACAAAATGTCAAAGAAATTATAAAAAAATAAATAATACTATTGGTATTCACCTTATATGTTGTTCCTGTTCGTAAATTTTAAATTTCTGTGAACAGGCAAGTATACAAAAAATATTCTGGGGGGAAGGTTTAAGTTGTACATTTTTATACTTAAATAATCTTAATACCACTATTACTAAAAAGATAAAAATATAAAATACTTAGAAATGTATTAAATTATTTCGTTGAATTTCAGGGAGGGAAATGACTCCCAAACCTCTTCTTGTGTGCGTGACTGTAAATATAATATCGAACAAATAAATCTTAGTGGATAATTTTTAGTCAAACTCTTATAAACAAGGAAAAAAAAATAAATAAAAATTATTGCATAGGCTTTAACACCCTATTGTCGTTATATAAAGTACATAGTATATGTTGACTCAGTTATAAATGTGGCGCCAAAATGTCCCGAACAAGTGTAACGAAACAGATGAGTCAGCTTTAAGACTTTGAAAGGGGATCGAAAACAAATTATTTATTGTTACCCAAAACATATACTATATATAATACATTACCTAAAACTTTTTAAAATAAATAGTATCAGTATGTGTAATTTGCTTAGGCCATTGAAACGTTTTGAGTTTGAGTATCAACATCATACCCTTAGTAGACTCGTAGTTTTCCCATTATTTTAAAACCAAAGATAGTTAATGAAACAATAATATACAAATGTATACACTTCAGAATTATCTGATTGTTAATAATTAAATTTAAAATATTATATAAAATCTAAAAAATAGTGGAATTATTATTAATATAAATTATAACAACTAAAGTATGCGTAACGACCAAAAGTAATTTTGTTAAAAGTAATATGAGAAAGAAAATAATAACTCATGAGACAATTTAGTATATTCGTTGTTGAAAGATATACAAATCCTATTTCGTTACTCTCTTAAATAAAATTATTTCAACAGTAAAATTCACAAATATTTATTCATGTCATTTTAGTCATATCACTTGGAAAAATTATATTTATACATCAACTATATTATAATTGATAATGTATAAAAAGATTTAAAATGTTAAAGTTACAAGTAATTCATTGATGTTAGTATTCTTATTAGTATTAATTATTATATTAGTTATTAGTATAAAACTTTAAAAACAAATGATTATTTACATTTTTATAAAATATTGAATGTAAGAAACGACAAAAATATCCCTTGCTTATTTTTAAAATATAATTATACTGTGGATATTATTATTATCATAATAATATAAAAAAAATATATAAAAATATTAATATTAATTTATAAAATGAAAAAAAACATTAATAATTTAATCTCCAATTGCGTATGTGTAAAAAATAATTTAAAAGTATACTATATTAACAAATATTGTTGTTTTTTATTTTATAAAGTTCAAAAACATGAACAGGCCAATGACCTTTAATATATTAATTTCAACAGTATAATTTTACAACGTGACATAATTATATTTTACTTTATGTCTGGAAAATTACAGTGATATAAAATACATTAATGTTCATAAAATTATCTTATAGTAGCCAAATAGGTAGTAAATACGTATACAGAATAACAGTAGACCGCTGTTTAAATAGTAAAATATTGATTAAAATTTTACCACGGTAATAAATTTAATGGTTTTTGTATAAAACAGTCAGTAATTCATTTTCATGGGTACTTTTTTTAAATCATTCGTAAAAGTTTGTATTAACTTATAGGTTCACATGATGTAAAACAGGAGTTTCATAAGTATTTTTCTAGAGTATTTTTATGCTATACTTTTTTCACAGCCTTTTCCAACTTTTTGTTATACGCTTTGAACAATTTGTCCAAAATATTTTACAACTGTACAACTGTAAGCTGCATGTAACGGAGGATTGATCTTAAGTATAATATTCTATATCTCTACATTAAATTACTTTTGTCCAAATGGCAATTTCTTTAAACTTTCATATAAATAAATTAACTTGGTAAATGATGCATTTCCAGTAATAACTTATTTTTAACAAATCAAACCTTTGTTCCTAAAAATGTTTGAATTCATATGTTTGCCTTATGATAAAATGCATGTTGACGTATAATGAATGGGCATACATATTTATACCTAAGTAATTTTTGGCGTAATACCAGATATCAAAGGTTCTCAACCTTTTGAGGTAAATGTCCCCTTTCATACTATTTTATACTGTCACGTCGCCTCACTATAATAATATCTAATTATGTTTAATAAATATACGTAACTCTTACTCATACTATTGGAGCATGACATTTTATTCTTATTCACGAAAGCTGACTACCTGTGAGCTCCCTGTGAGGTTCTGGATCTTATTTCCATGATGCAGCCATCTTAGTTAGTTGAGTTTCCTAAGTATTTAAAGTTTTCCACTTTTTCAAGCAGCCGACCACTATTTGGATATTAATTCTACAGATTCGTTCTTATTTTAGCAATCTAAATCATCCAAAATTCAATTCAAAATTCAATCAATTACCCACCCACGAACCAGCTTTTGTATGTGCTACTGAAGCAACATTTGGACATAGGATAGCAACCACTGTTTATACCTATAATATTTATGTTGTATAATGTAACTTGTACTTGTATGCCTATATTGTTGTAATATTTATAATATTTTACTTACCTATCCAAAAATATTTTAAAATTATTTCACAAAACTAATTAAAATAAAGGTATCACTCATATTCTATATAAATTTTAATATCTATAACCAACATTTTCAAATGGCTTAGTAAATGATTTAGAAAAAGTAGGTATATTGCATATTATTAATATGTTACTATTAAATTGACAATTATTTATTGGAATTATTGCAAAACAAGAAGTATCTATTAAATAACAGTAATTATTATTACATTCGATTTCATTGATTTAATGACCTATATAATGTAATGTAGGGAGTGTAATTTAATTACTATAAATTTTTTTAAATTTTTCACACTACACATAAAGTATTTGATTATAAAGTGATTAATTTATGTTTATGAAACTCAACTGTTTAGGTTTTACTGGTAGCTGAAGCATATCGGTATTTGTGAAAAGAAGTTGTTTTGTTTAAAAAAAAAAAAAAACATAATGTAGAATATTGGAAAACAAAATAGATAAACCATACGCGCGTTCAAAAAATGAACGCAAAGGTATGAATGTATAAGTATTTAGTATAGTACACTTATTATGTTATATTAAAATATAATACTGTACTTTCTCACGATTTATGATTTCAATAAAGTTTTAAACAAAACGAGATTCACGAAGAAAATTTTTCTTATTTTTTAGCGAGTAACACATCCTATATTTTGTTAGGAGAATTAACGTTAATTTATACGCATCTGGTATTACCGAAATACATTATAAGTTATAACTTTAGACGTTATACGCGATATCCCATCAACATCTGAAATGGCAAATACAAATTGCGCCGTTGGTGTCTGGGCTTTCCCATAAAATTTTGTACTTCGTACCAAAAAGTAATATATACATATACGTAGGTCTTTGAACGTATACATATTACAGAAGACCCCTCGTTTTTGACATCGATTTTCTTTTTTATATTTAAATGACAGAAAGTGTACCGTGGAAATATTTACACCATTCTCAATGGAATGACGGTCGTGTACATAAACATAATTAGGACCATGTAGAGTAAATCGGAGCCCAGGGGTAGTGACCCAAGGACTTCATTTTTCTCATGTTTTAAATACATGTTCAATTGATCCAAAATGCTATCGGTGTCTCGATAAGTTTCCGTGGTCAGATTAAGTTTCTTCATTTTTCTAAAGCATTTTTTAATATACAAAGATTTTTTTTTGAATAGTGTGGCAGCATTAATTCTAGCAATCCACTTTGTATAAGAAAGAGATGAAAGTAAATCCGACATTTTTTATTTCAAAATCTTTAAGCATTGTGTAATGCTTCTAAAAATGTTAGTATTTCTGAACGACATAAAAATAAGTGATCGCTTGGGGACAAGATCTTACAGAATTGACTCCAACTAAATTTAACGTGTGAAATCCACAAGACGAATATTCTGCATACTCATTTTTATGAAGAAGAAAACTGTGCATCTTTATATTTACCTCTCATATTACTATAGTTATCATAACTTTGCTCTCGACAACCGATCAAAAGTATAATGATTAAATATGAATAAATATTATATACATGTAAATATGTGTTAATTTGACAATATTTAAATCCCTCATTAACATGACGTAGGTACATCAAATTAAAATACATTTAAACTGTTAAATTAAATAGAAATACGAATATTTAAGAATAATTACCATTTGTGTATTTTTTATCATTATTTATTTGAAAAACCCAACGTACGATACACGTGATGTATGATACTCGTAGTAAGGTCGCAGTAGTTTTTGTTCCAAAATTCAAATAATACAACTATGCACTTTGGTTTTTCAAGATTTTTCAAAATTCCATAAAACCATTTTTTTTGCCTTCTTGGTTCACATACCGGGCCTCTAGTAAAATCCCGGACCCCGCGGGAATCACCTTCAAGCCCCCCCCCCCCCATATCGTCGAGCCTGAATATAATATATCTACATTGTTGCATACACTTTATTCCCAAATGACATTTCAGCATTAATTATGAATATAACGATGACAAATAACTTCTTCATACTATGGGCTATATACGGATGTCCATAGCATAAAATGTTCACGCAATCTCTTGTGGCGTATGTCCGAAAGGATATAATAAATTGAACATTATACTAGGTATGATACATATATTTCATAACGCTATATATTCGATTTGTGCAATGTAAATCAAAAAAGTTTTCAACATACGTCCACACATCTCTAAAATATATAAAAATTGGTGTATACATTTCCCCTGAACAAGGTCGATACACATTACATCGCGGTCGTGGCGACCACAGTGTCCAGAATAATAAAATAATTGACCTCAAAAAAAAAAAAATGTTATAAACATAAACATATTTGTATGGTTGTCGTATCATAGAAGAGTGGAATATCTATCAATTAGGTACGCATGCGTGATATTAAGATTATATAAGTATTTTGACTGTACAGACTATATAATATTAAAATATAATATCGTTGTGTCATTATTGTTTTAGTCCTTGTAACTTTTACAGATAACGAGTGTTGAATTAGATTTGATGTTATGACCGCGCTACTTCACAGAGCCAAGATATACACTCGTATTATACTAACCTGTATTGCATGCAAATAATTTATAATTATTATTACATTAATTATATTTTGTCACCAAACATCTACAAACATGTTGATTATACTCTTAAGAATCGTCGAAATGGTAAGGATCCTTTCCATCATATTATAGTCATAATTTATATTAATATATATATATATATTCGTATAGTATTTTAATAAACAGTATTTTCTGCATTCGTACTTCATTGTCGATGTAAAAAATATATCTAGAAACTTGATCTGTAATTATTAATTTTAACATTCACTCATACATGCAGTGACACCGAAAACGTATAGCAAGTGTGGTGAATACCCCAGAAATTGTTTAGGTGGTGGATGGGTGGTTAGACTTAATGAGTGCTAAATATATAATTGTACGGTAAAATATTCCATAATATTATGTAATTACTAGATGTGTAGTAAATACTCGTAATTCACAGATATACAATACTTGCTATTTATGATTTTTTGGTGACTAGGTGGGTACCCATAAGTAGGGTTTACCCCAATGATATAAAAAAGGTTCGACGCCACTGCATACGAGTACTAGTAATAATGTGAATCTACACACAAAGCATTGAGGAGAATTTTTTTTTTAAATACGCTTATTATTTCAAGTTGTAATCGAAAAAACTGTAGTATCATGTACTTAACACTGTTTTAATATTTTAATTTTAATTTAATTTTACTTAGAATGTATAATTTTACGAGCGTCTAGAGACAGCCAACAAGCAAATTCCTTATCAATTATCATATCGTAATTTCTTATCAAATATCATATAATTTTAGAATGCGTATATTGCAATAAAAAGTTTGGTAAAAAACTAAATTTATTTTGACACATTAATTCAAATGTATGTGTCACAAGCAGATATATTAAATAATGGACAAATATAATATAAAATTAATTTATCCCTAGACTCAAATTTAAAAATGCTTTTTAAACAAGAATCTAATTTTCTTTTTATATTAAATGAAAATGTAGGTCAAGAACCAGCCAATAAAAACAGTTGTTAAAAACAGTTGAAATTTATTTCAACTAAAAAACTTCAGTTAAGAATATCAGAAGTAAAACAATTAAATAAACCAACATTAAACGTAAGAAAATAAATAATAGATGACCTGAACGAAAAAGATGGGTCTCCGTATGTCCATATTGATTCGATGTTTAACTACAGAATAGTTTAATCTGTTCTGTGTTACTGTTCTGTGGTTTGACAATGCATATGGAAAATAAGACATACGAGTATAATATGCTATTTACAATGTGTTACCTACATTTATATACTTGTTATTATTATTATTTCGAAAACAATATATTTCTTTTAAACTACATTTTGATTGCAATTTTTATTTTATTTTATTTTCATTATTTTGAAAACAATATTATTAATATTTTTTTATATGTTCATGTTAATAATATTTTGTTATGCATATTATTGAATTATTTGATACATATTATATGTTATTTGATAAGAAATTACGTTATGATAATTAATGAGGGATTTGCTCATGGCTGTCTCTAGACATTCGTTATCATTTTACATTAAAAAAATTGTTAAGTTGGTATATTCGTATACTCAGGCCGTAATTTTTATGTACCCTAAAAAATCTTGAGCCGCAATTTGTGTGTACCCCAAAAATATCCGGTTCACAATTCACAAGATATTTTTACCATAGGACTAACTATTAATCATTCAAATAACCTTATATTTTCACAAAAAAATATTATTGTTTAAATTAATACATTTCTCACTTGATTCAAATTTTAAATTAAACTAAAAATGGTTTAATTATCATTAGGATATGTTCTATAGTTATTAATTATTTAATAGTAATAATATATTTGTATACTTACGTGTATAATGCTAGTGAAAATAAAAATAAAAACCAATATAAAAGAACAAAGTGTATATTTATAAATAATATTATTGTAAATATTATTATGGACAAATAACAAATAGGTCAACGATTTTGCAAGAGATATTTTGCGGTTTGGGTAACAAAGGACATATAGATGTATTATTGTATAATATTAAAGTTTTAAATAATGTTGCAGTGTCTTACTTTAAGTGAATACATTGTTTTTTTATAATGTAAATAATGTAATTAAGGTTGCAGTAAATCTGAGTTGTATATAAAATATACTTAACCAGGGAGTTAAAGCATAACTCCAGATATTTTTTTCAAAACGTAAGATTTAATCCTCCTTTAATTTAATTCTTTAATTGTGTTCAATTTAAACTTATGTCTCATATTATGGAGTAATTTATTAATTTTTAATTATCAGTTATGATGAATACGAAGCTGTATGTAAAAAATTATGCATTCAAAAAAATAGGAAATAAAAAGATATTCTTATCTTCTGAGGACAGATATGGCAGAAGAATTATAAAAATGATGAGCCACACGTGACACCTTATAAATTTCGATATTATTATAATATAAGAACTGCGAGTAGTCAAAAATGGTGATTTATTAATAGTTTCAAATCCAATATAATAAAAATGATTTGGTGGTATTAAGCTTTAAATTTTAAATTAATATATATTAGCGCCGACGGAAGGGTAGGACAAAAGTGGCAGCTGCCCATGGTTTGGTATATTAGGAGCTCCGCGCCCGAGCCCGTATAGGATTTAATAAAGCCAATAATTTTATTTTTAAAATTAAATAACAAATTCCTCCTGTCATATGAAATGTAAGTAATATTTTAATCTTTAATTTCAATATTATTTTTAGTAAATACCTATATTATAGTATAAATTGTATAACAATAATAATCAAAATAAAATAATATATTGTTGATGCATTGATGATAAAATATATTAGCCGTACTAAGGAAAAATGTTTATACATAAATTATATAAAATAAGAAAATATGCTTTACAAAAAATAATTGTATAGACCCGCAAAACCTCCGCTCGGCATTATATTCTCATATAGTTATAACAAAATCTATATTTGATTGGAAATCAATGGTTGGTTACAATTATTTTTACCTACCATGGTCAACAATTACACCATGTGACAATGAAAATATTCAAATGAAAATAAAACGTAATAATACTACGGTTATGACACAATATTATAGTAAATATTATTTTAAAATTCCACGAGTTTTTCAACTTTAAAAGAAGTGACAAATTCTTACAATATATTCCTTTTTTTAAAAAAAAATGTTATAATTTCAAACTAAGCAAAAAATATTGTTAGGTATATAATAATTGTATGAAGTCAACAATGGTATATGAAACTATGAGTGAGTGAAACCACGGCAACGGCCAGAGAAATCACAATGTATATACGGACAAGGCCGATACAGAAGACATATGAAGTGTTTTAAATATATATATGCATAAATATGATTTTTTCAGTGAATGATTTTTATTTGTGCAATATGTTGTATAATTATATTCTTAATTATAATAAATATTCTTTTGATTTTTCATATAATATTTAAAAATACCTTCGACAACAATAATTATATAATGATAGAAAAAATATAATTAAAGCATTTTAGTATTATAATTAATAATAATATCAGTCTTATTTAGAAAAACAATAAATATAAGATAGAAAAATAAAAATAGTGAGTAAGAAATATTATAATAAAGTTTTATACTTGGTTTCGTATTATAATTAAATTATAATGAATTATTAGTAAAATATTGTATAGCTATTATTATTAGTATAACAATTATTTATTTCTATTGGAGGTTCAAATTAACCGATCAATGTGTACATTTCGCGGTCATTCATATTGCACGTAACCAGGGGTGGAACTAGGGAATGGAAAACGATTCATCCCCGGGCGTAAAATTTTAGAGGGTGTAATTTTTGTAATTATTAACAACTAATTTGATATTTTTAACTTTGTTAAATACTGTTATTAGGTTAAAATTCAATAAGTATGATTGTATATTAATTATTAGAAAAAAATTCTCGAGAAAAGTATTTGATTATTGGTCTATGATAGAGCGTAATTTTAAAATTTTCCCCGGGCTTAAAAATTCCTAGTTCAACCTCTGCACGTAACATACACACATATATATACATAATATTATGAATTATTTGTAACGTGTTTACATTTTAACAAAATATCTAGCATATTAGAAAATATAAAAATGAATATGTACTTTATTGTTTGCTTGAATCATAGTAAATTATAATGTACCATGCTTGTAACAATACAAGATTTTAATCTCCCATCAATATTTATATTTTATTTGGATGTTTACGAAAATTATGAATTATGATTAAAAATGGGTACATAGCTAATATATCCTTTCATAAATGATTATTAATAATTGCCGTTCAAATTATTATTGTGTAGGTTATAACTTATACATATATAGGTTATTTAATATTTTTTTTATAAAAATAACAATCACACAATTTCAGTTAGTTAAGTAAAATATCTAATTTTAATTATGAAACTCAAAACATTTAAAAGAAACGTTAAACTATATACTCACATTTTAATATTACAGTTCATAACACTTTTAATTAATCGATACTCTTCCATTAACAAGCCTTATGCCAGTGGCTCCAAAGTATTTTTCAACTACCAGTTCAATGACTTTTAAGACCACCCACCAATTCTGCCACCAAAAACAGGCTGAAATATATTATATTTTCTAAAAGTTCAACTATGTCTCTATTATTACATTGTTGTCTTAACTTTTTTAATCAAAAATGATGGTAAATTCATTTCTCTTCAACATGATGTGTACTATACGAATATATTTTAAAATTTTAATAATATTAACCCACCCACCTATTTTATTAGGTAGTACGAGTAGGGTTCTGCCACAGGCAATATTGAACAACGAACATAAAAAATAAATTGTTTTCTATCTATAATAAACCATTGTGTTATAATGTACATATGTCAAAATAATGTGATTAATATTGTATTTATACTAAACGAATAACGATATCTTTTTTTCAAAAAACTATATTATACGATTTATTTTCAGCTTATTCCAGTTGTGGTAGAGGTTTCTTTGATGGGATATAGAAATAAAACTATTAATGATTACATCAAATTGTTACAACTACAGAGTCACGAGTCACATTGGTTTTTCAAAATTGTTTTTATTCAAATTACAATATATGTTAGTTTATTTTTCACCTTGATGGTTATGTGTGGAGTACTAATAAAAGAACAGATGCCAAAAAAATTGGTATGTTAAAAAATATACGTTTTAATAATTTTAAGGTTTTTTAAAATTTTAACGATTTGAATAGGTATCATGTTTGATCAAGGTAAGGTATTTAAATTTTTTTATTATTCTATAAGAGATTAAACAAAATAATTAAAAAAAACTAAATAGAATTACCGAAATGATAATTTAAATGTATAATATCAAACGTCCTTTTTGTTGATAATTTTGCTTGTTTGTTCATAATATATTTATAAATATGTGTTAACTTTTTTACAGATACTTATTGGGTCTTTTGTTCAAGTACTATTATGTTTAGTATCTTCTTATTTCTTATTAATACTTCATAAAGATATGGGCAAATTTCTATTTATACTTTGTTCTTCAGCAATTGGATTCAATGGGCTACTGTTTACAATCGATGCAATTATTACGTTTCAACAAATCATGTTTTCACGCCCACACGCATAAAAAAAATATACATACATATTTATACTACCTAGGTATATTAAGTTATAGTTCTTAAGTATTACTTTTTCATTTTTATGTCATGTATTTTATTTAAAAAATATCAAATTTTAATTATAACTTATTACACATTTTTGAATAGATACATATAACTTTATAATTTTTCTGAAAACAATATATTCATAACATCTGATGTAACCAATTTATTTGAATAAAATAATGAGATTAAGTAGGTTGTATAAACATTGTTTTTGATTTTCAATAAGGTGTAAATTGTAAGTCTAGATAAGTGTGGCTGTTAATTAAATATATTTATACTAATTATCTCCAAAAATAAAGTCTTTTTTTTTGCTTGAATAAAAATGTAGACGTGTTTTTTTATAATTAATTATACACATAATAAGTCATGGTGTTTTTAACCTTAAAATCTATATAATTACATAAATATAGACAAATATTTTATTATTTCTATTGAATAATATATTAGATAGATTATTATAATATAATATATTATTATTAGAAATATATAAATTATATACTATGTACCTAAGTTCTTAACACTTTGAAGATTGAACAAAGCCACGTGATTTGTATAATATTATCTTATGATAACTACCCATCATTTGTTCTTATCAGGGCCGGATCTATGGGGGGGGGGAAAGTCGGGGATTTATCCCCGGGCGTAAAATTTTAGAGGGTGTAATTTTCGTAATTATTAACAACTAATTTGATATTTTTAACTTCGTTAAATACTGATATTAGGTTAAAACTCAATAAGTACGATTGTATATTGATTATAAAAACACAATTTATTTGAGTATTTGTTTATTAATCTATGGATAGGGCGTAATTTTAACATTTTACCCAGGCGTAAAAATTCCTAGGTCCCTATTTCCATCTCTGGTTCTTATTATTGTAGAGGTAAAACCAACATGTCTAATGTACAAATCATATTTAAATGACAAGACTTATTAGAATATAAAATATACTAATAAAGGTAATTTGTACATTCTAGAGAAATATGTAGGTTGAACTAGATTGGCCTAGATTAGTAGTGATTTATTACGACCAGCAATAATTTATTAGTAAACCCGCCAAAGTATCAAATTAAATTGAAAAATTTGATTTTTGCCATTTCAAAAATATGTGCTATTTAAAAATAAAAAGATTATGTTGTACTTCTGAGACAATGATTCATCAACATTTAAAACATTCGAGAAAATGAAAAGTTTATTGATTTATTTTAAAATTATTTTAATATGTATTCAGAAAAAATTGTAACTTCTTTACAATTATAAATTATAGAACTTCAATTTAACAATTATTTAAAAACACAATTTCAATTTTATTCAAGCCTTGCAAATCTTGTCGAATTATACTCGTATTCAAATTTTTCTAAAGAAGATTTATCAAACGTTCGGCAGTTAGCAATCAAAATATCTTATAAATTTGAACAAAAATTATATTATTATTCATATTAAAAACAAATATATGTTTATACTTTATATTATTATCTTATTTATAACAATCTTCTTCTTCTTTTAGCTTTTACGGGCCATTTAGGTCCATTGCCGCTACGACCAACTGCCTCCATCTATCTCTATCATGAGCTAGTTCTTTTCCGTCGTTTACTCTAAATTTCGATGTATCTTTTATAATCCTGTCTTTCCAACGCTGTCTGGGTCGTCCCTTGGCCTTCTTATGTCCGGCTTCCAGCTACTGGCCAATCCTATTGAGCCTTCGGACCTCCACACATGCCCAGCCCATCCAAGTCTACTAAACTTAAGGACTCCAATTATATTTGTTTTACCATATAGTTCTTCTACTTCTCGGTTTTTTCTTAATTCGAAGTCCCCAAGAATGTTTCTTTTTGGCCCTAATAATTCTTCTAAGAACCTTTCGTTCAAACGTAGCTAGTCTATTTTTATCCGTCTTTACTGTTGCCCATGTGCCGTTAGCGTATAGTGCTACCGGTCTTATCAGAACTTTGTATAACGTTATTTTCGTTTTCCACGATAGTAGTTTTGAGTTGAGTAGGGGTACTAATCCAAAGTTTTATAAAAATCAGTATATAATAAATAATTAAATTTATCACTGTACATATATTAAAATGTGCTTACATTTTTTAATATTCTTTAATATTCTATTAAATTAAAAAAAAAAGTTGAAATTCTTGACCCACTAAGAATTTTTTTTTTTTTATGACCCTCGGTAATTATATACTATAATGCACTAGAAAATTTTTGAAAAAATTTGCTCTAAAATCTTAATAGTAGAACCATTGATTATGGATATTATACTATCTATAATCAATGGTAGAACGTAGATTGTGCAAAGCTAATACAAATTATCTAGACAGCCTATGTCAAAATAAACATAGAATAATCATAACATAATCTAAACTAAAATAAAAAAAGCTTTACCTACACTCTAGATCCTAGAGTTACTTTCAAAAAAAAATATATAGAGCACAGGTACCCTAAAATAATAATGAAATAATAAAATTGTTTATAGCGTATTTATAATGTATGAATAGTATACATTTATACATTTAGCTTTTTGGATACCTAGAAACCTAGTTATGAACTTACACTAGCAGTGAATTTAATTGACAATTTATGAAATATAATGAGAAAACATAAAATTTTCAAATAATAATAAATAGCTCAAAAAATGTCGAAATTAACTGAAAATTGTACCATCCATAGCGAACGGTGATAAAAGCATTCAGTCAACATTTCAAGTCCCTATAATCAATATCTACCTAGTGAGTTGTTTTGAAAAAATAAAATACATTTTGTCTGAAATATTGAAGTTTTTTTTGTCAGTTTTGGCAATTATGTGTCAAGAAAACTCTAGGGAATTTCGTAAAGTTACTCTTCTAAATCACTAGTTAGATAGTATTTCCTATCAGAAACCACTCATGATTGGATAAACTCTTCTGGTTAAAATCTTGTACACAGGCACAAAAAATTTAAAATTATTAAAAAAACACACAACCAATATCTTTATTCTATCTTCGTTTTTTAATTCAGAATCTAAAATTACTAAATATAATAAATTTTTAGTAAATAAATAGTTTTTTTGGCTGTCATATAGTATGCGGTCTACCGGTGAATTTACGAGTATAGTATGCGATTTACCGGCGATTTACGAATATTGTATATGGTCTACCGCAAATAAATAAATTAAAAATTATATCATAATATTAAAGTATAATTATTGTAGTAGTAATAGTAAAAAATTAATAATTAAAAATTAGTTTGTCAAAAAAATTGTTGTCAATGAGTATAAATAAATAAAATGTAATATGTTATACAAAAATGCATTAAATAAATCTGATTTATTTATGCCACGTCACCATGTTTCCATGAGATATCTGCAATAATATGTATCATTGTATTATACGTATTACGTTAAATTTATTTTACATAAATTATAATAATTTTACCTTGGAAGGAGATCAGGACTTGTACCACACATATTTTTAACTACTTTTAAAAGTGATGGTTTCCATAAACTTTCGATCCGTTGAGTGTGCGCTTGTGTAAGTGGATCAACAAAATTTTCGCTTTGGTTAACTGTATTATGCGTTCAACCATATTGGATGATCCCGTTATACGCTGGCCACCCATTAGAGTATTTAATAAAACTCAATACAACCCCTTTTTAATAATATCATGCAAAGTTTACTTGCCCCGCTTTTCGACAACAAAATATCGTTTCTCACTATTGTCGCATAATCCAAACACTCAAGGACCGTTCATTCGTCTACCATAATTTCTTTTTCCATTTTCAAGAGGGTCTTCATTTTCGTCTTCGATATTTTCACTCGGCAAATCAACAAGTCAATATCGACCTGTAACAACATAATGATGATTATATAAATGATTGTATAAATTATGATTTTTTTCTGGATCATCTTAACAAACATTCGTCGACTTATATGATAATATTAGGTCCTCCAAATTTATTACGTTTTTCAAACATTTTCACTGGTATATTCCAACACAAATTCATCCTGTCATATACAGTGTTGGACGATCTCCCAGTTAATGTCATAATTGTTTTATTGAATAAACCTTGAGTCCAGTAGAACACCAGTTCTAACTGTTGACTGAGGCTTAGTCCACTATTTAGACGACCATTTTTGTCAATAAAAGTCCAGAAAGCATTATCTTTCCTATAATAGCTGGCTCGGCTCAAGTATTTAAACAAACATGGGCGAAATTTAGTTTTTGCCGTCCCTTACGTGTAAATATTTTATCAATCATTTTTTTTATACATAAAAATTGTCCAGGAAAAATGCCGTTCTAGGCGTGGGCCTATGTCACCTATTCCTTGAGCCGGGCCTGTATAATAGTATACACAATTATGATTAAATAAGCTAAATGAATATAAGAAAATAATTTTCTTACCTTAAGCTTTGTGTTGTTTGACATTCCTTTCTCTTACAACGTAAAATTCTTCTTTCCTTACCCATCTCCTTGCGTAGGTATAAATTCATAGCACTTCCACACTTAATACATTCGGTATTTTCATTATTTGCCACAATATTTTTGCTAATTAAAAAATTTGTGGTTGATTCGTCACTACTAATAATTGAATAAAAATCTTTTTCCAACATACTAAATGTGTAAAATATAAATTGTGTTGCGCAATTAATGACGTACTGAGCTATTGAGCCCATACTTTTACAACATTTCGAAATATTGTTATCTGTGTATAAGGCAATAAACATAAAGTGTTGACCGAAGAAAAAGATTAAAGTGTATCTATTAAAAATAAACTTAAGCCTATGTAAAAAAAGGCAGGTAGACCGTATACTATATGACAACAGTTTTTTTACAATAAATTATTTTCTCGAATTATAAATAATGTCTTCAATAGGCTGTAACTTCCAAAATAATCGTCTGCGCCAATCTTCGTAAGTACCATCGTTTTCAGCGTTAAAAAATTTATAAGTTGACTTAAAAAAAATTCGAAATTTTGGGTGCTCCGTATAGTAGAAATATATCATTTATCCATAGAACCATTTTATGAATAGAAAAAATTGACTGTAAAATAATACACATACTTCTGTGGATTAACTAATTCTTGATAAACTAACCAATTTGTGTTTAAAACCCAACTAAATAATTTAATCCCATAGACCTTAACTAGGCATAACCTTAACTCTAGTATAAGGTTTATGTTTAATCCATTCATAGTTGAATAATTGTTCAGTTAATTCACCAAATTTTTTTCAATCAGAAGTAATAAAAACGTGAGTTTCCATTTTAAATTTAAATCATAAAATGGGGTTTAAGAAGTTTAATATTGCAATTTTACTATAACTTCATAATATAAAGTACAAAGTACATATTATGTAAACTCAAAACAAATATTATAAATGATATTCTAAAATTTCGTAATTTAAAATATTAATGATTGAATAATTGATAAGATTTGAAGTCGAAATCACAGATACATATTTAAAAATACAATTTTTATATATCTGAAATGAATGATGATAATGAACATAAACATATACTAGTATCCATAATTATCATTTATATATATATATCACGGTCTTAGAAGATATAGGTATCTATATATATTTTAAGCCCTTGATATATAATATTATATTCGTGAACATTAGAGTACGTACTTTAAATTATAGTTCTTAATGTTCATGATTATATTATTATATTATAGGTATGTCTATGATAATAAAATACTATAGCGCTGGTACGAAATTTAATGAGATCAATGATATCGGCGCAGTGACGCAACTAGGAGTATAATCCTCCCTCAAAATTTTTCTGAGATTTTTACAAATTCTATGTAGAAAAAAAAAATGGTTCATTTTGAACACGCGAAACGGCTGATTGATATGAAATATGAATATTATTCGTAATATGATAGATAAGAATATATTGTTAACAATAAATAATAATAACATGACGTTTTGTCACGGTCCAATCAACTTTAAAACATCAATAACCTTGCTACTACGATTTCTCGATAGTCGATTGTTTAATACTTTTTTTGTGGTATCACAATATGAAATATAAGTTAAACAGTTTAATTTGTAATTTAAATATTTTACTCATAATACTAACTTAATCTTACTTCCTTATCCCCACCAAACATCTGTTTATTTTTTCTAAATTCACAACCTCTTACCCCCCCCCCCCCCCGCGAAAACCTATCATAGCTGCGCCACTGGAACGGCGTATGGAGCTTGGACACTAGAGGTTTATTAGTTTTTATTTTTGGGCGGCACAAGGCCCGTAACCACTATCATTGACTAAATATATATGTATATTTAATCAATGTCACTATCAGCGGCGTACCTGTGGGGAGGGCAACAGAGACATTTGACCCCCCCCCCCCGAGAAGTTTTTTGATGCCATAATGCAAATTAATTATTTAACTTAAATAGTGTAAATTATAAATATTTTTAATTTTCACTGATTATAATCGTGTTTGATATCAAAAGTTTTTAATATCACTTATCAATGTAATATAAAATATCAATATTCGACCGAATTGGAATTAGGAGTGATGGTCACATATAGTCACTATTTTATAATGTGGTTATTATTGATATCAAGTGATCAATATGAGTTTTAAATATTTAGTAATAATTTATAATGAAGTTTCAGATTACATTATAACCATAAAAAATTGTACAATTAATTTATGCCCCCCCCCAAAAAGTGGTTCACAGGTATGCCACCGGCCACTATCAGTGTCCATTGTAACGCGCTCTGGTAATCTCTATCATGATACTTTTATCAACGTGAATCAATGTTTACGACGGTCGCCTGAAGATAAGCATTGTAAAGAACTTTTGTTTTTTTCAAAACACCGTGTTTTAATTTTGCTTCAAGAATAGAACGATTATTTACCTTCGAAAAATCAATTGAGAAAACGTTTTTTAGATACACGAAGTTGCTTACTATGAACTGAACCCGGGTTACAATTGTGATCATTATGAATTCAAATTTAACGCCATATTGCCAACCCGGACCGTCGACGTCGAAAAGTGATGATCAAAAACCACCAACGAATGTGGATGAACAAATCCATTTCCCTCCTTATCATTACGAAATGGTTGCAGCAGAACCTTCCACATCTTCCGGACAATCACTCACGTTTCCGTTGCCCTTGTCTGTCTGGTCGAACACCCCAAATTTTCCTACATACATGTCGATGGCTGTAAACGCTGAACAACCCTCATATATATATCCAACGACTTCGAGCTTAAGATTGCCATCTACTGAACAAATACCTCCAAATTGTTTGGATTGGACCATTAATCCTATTAAAGCTCCTCCTCCGCAGTTTAAAACCACATCAGAACCATTATTCACCTTAGGGTACAGTTCAACTATATCAGAAAATTGGATGGAGGGTGATAAAGGACTTCAGTATAGTATTAAAAATTTTATGTTTTCAACAAAAAGAATTAGAAATTCAAATGAAGCATGTAGTGCCAGCCAAATTCATCAGTATGACTCTTTGCTAATATCCATTCCCCAGGTATAATACCAGTTTTCATATTCTGTAAAAAAAATCTTATTGCTGTTTATGTAATTGTATAATCCAAACAATTTTTTATTTAAAAAATAATTCAATAAATGTAAAATATTATTATTACTATTTAAACTATACAGGCTCTAGAAGGAGATTATCATTATTATGTTTGGCCTGCTTCACCCGTGTTGGCATGGATAATATGGGAACATAGACTAGAATTACCGGGCAAAAGAATATTAGAAGTTGGATCCGGAACTTCTCTACCTGGTATAGTGGCAGCTAAATGTGGAGCTATTGTTACGTTAACTGATGACCCTTCTATACCCGGAACTATCAAGCACATTCAAAAATGTTGTTATATGAACAGCTTGTATCCTGAACAAGTAATTATTATAGAATTCATGCCATTTTTTAATAATTTAATTCATTTTTATAATCAATTGAATTTAACTAGATCAGAATACTTGGATTGCAATGGGGATACTTTTTCCGTGACCTTACAGAAAAAGTTGGATCATTTGATCTCATTATTGGATCAGATTGTTTTTATGAGCCAAATTTGTATGAGGACTTAATAGTTACTGTATCATATTTACTAGATCGAAATCCTTTGGCCAAGTTTATGACCACATATCATGAAAGAAACCCAGAATTTAGATTGGAAGAACTTGCTGCCAAATGGAAACTTAATTGTATACATAAATCTTTAGAAGATTTGGGACAAGACAATGAATTAGATATATATGAACTTATGAAAGGTAACGATATTCATTTAATAGAATTTACCAAAAAAAAAATGAAAAAAAAATGAAGCTCAATATTAGTTAATTTATATCAAAAGAAGTAATATACTGAACTGCATCCTACCTTTAGGTACAATTTATAAGAAACATATTAACATTTGTTTTTTAATGTAAAAAAAAAAATAATCATGTTTTAATAATTACATATTATACTGTTTTAATAAATATTTTATTTTTCCAAAAATATTTTGTATTGAAATTATAATTAATTTAAATCATAATAACATGCAAAAATGTAATCAAATTGAAAATCCAGTCTTTAATGCTAAATGTTAAAATGTACAATGTTTGAACATTGTTTACTAATATTTATTACCAAGATAACACAATATATTTTATTAAATCTATTAAACGTGAAATTAATTGCTTAAAAATTACCAAAAAATAACAACACCAAATCAAAATGTAATTTATGAACTAAAATGTAATAAAAGTTAAAAACAAATAGGTGAACGCTATTTAGTATTGCAAATAAATGTATTAATATTCATTGAAATTTGTATGAGCAGTCAATTTGGCATGTTCTTGTGCTTGCGATTGTCCAATCATAATACAACCACAATCCAGGCACTTTAAAGTAAATCGATTAACATCTGTATACTGTCTACTAGATTTAGCTTCATTAGCTAACATTTGAGCAGCTTCTAACATACGATCATCATTTGTTGGGTATAATGTTTGAATAACATCTCCAGGCTGAAATGAAAAATAATTAGTTTTTATAGGAGGTTAAATTAGTAAAAATAACAAAAATGAATGATACTAACAAGTAAATTAGAGGATTCCAAGTATAATGGATCATAATGAATACCATCATAAATGAGAAATGCTCGATGAGGATAGCTTTTGTCTTCGCCAAATTTACTAATAGAACCACTTTGAGTATCAATTACATCTATTTCTATACCATAAAAATTTGACAATATAGACACTTCAATAGCACCGCCCCACGAATTTGGATTTCTTATCCATTCGCAGTAGTCTGCATTTGATTTCCCAAGTACTGCATCACTAAAATATGCTTGGTCACTGTTTACTGCATTAGCTATTACTTCACGCATATAATTACCACTAGTCAAATCAATTTTACCTGAAAAATATTATCAAATATTTAATATTTATTAAAACAATAAAACCTTTTAATTTTCTCAAACCTAGATAAATAAATAAAATTTGTGACAGTTCATTGAATAATGATATATATATATATATATATATATATAATAATCATATATTATTCAATAATATTATAAATTTTATAATTTAAGTTTACTTGATATAATTGTAACTAAATTATTATTATTATCATTATAATTATTTTTTTTTTTTATTGGTGGGTGCCTGTAGCCATTGCCGATTATGTTAGTTTGGATTTAAATTTGTTGTGCAATTGTGCGTTTTAAAATAATTTAAATTTTAAGTTAAAAAGAATAAAAGATTTAAATTTAGTGATTTAAAATTCCAGGGACCAAACGTTCTATGGGTAGGTATAAATAAATCTATATAACTTCTGTAGACCAAATGTCCTATCTTAATAATAGACGGGGCGAAACGTCCTTTTACCATTTTACTATAAACATGTTCTATGGTAAAAACAAAGTACTGTAACATTTGTTGAGAATTAATATAGTCATTAGTTAAAAAAAGTAAGAGAACTATAATCTACAATTTTTAAATATTCTATATCATAAGCTCAAATACAATGATATATTCAAAGATTTAATAATATTGAAAAAAAAGATTCATAAAATAAAAATAACTATAGAGGTGTAGATTAGATAAACTGAGTGATATAACTAGTGTCTATATAGCAAGAAAATATCCTATTCCAAAAACTTGACAAAAATATAGTTAACAATTATGAATAACATATGACTATTACCTCCCAACACAAATCCCAAACTAGTGAACAAACAAGAATTATCAGCTGGTACAACTTTACGCAAGATCAATGGCAATCCGTCTCCAACCTCCTGCTCTGTGATATGCTTTAGAACTTTATTCTCGTTCTCCACTTTGCCTTGTTGAATATCAGTACCACTCGAGTTAACCTCAGCTATAATCGTATCACCAGACTTCAATCCTGCATCTTCGACTGTACCATCACACTTTTGAATTGGTTTCGGTGGAAAACCCAACAATATTTTAATGCTGGACACTGGTATGGCACTTAGTGCCGACACTTGCTCTATCAAATCCGATATTGCACAATTCAAAGGAACTGTCAACGGAAACGTCCCCGCACGGCATTTTAGCCGAATAACTATGTCCGACATTGGTCAACTACGTTTGTTACAGGACATTGTTTAATAATAGAAGAAAAATATTTATACAACAAGAAAACCTAAAACTGTCGATTAATGGTTAAACATCAAACATTAAAATATGGTATATTTAATGATAATTGACAAAAAGAAAGTTGAAAAACCTTTGGTAATTATGATAACGAGTACAGTGTGACCAAAATTTTTTTTTATATTACGTTACGAACGTTAGGAAATTTATAAATGATAAAAAAACTATTTCATAATCGAATAAAACAGCTGCTGAATATGGTACCTACCAGGGCCGGCGTTAGGGGAAGGCAACACGGGGCATTTATCCAGAGCCTCGCGCTTAAAATTTTCATTGAAAAATATTTTGTTCGGAAATCTCATATTTAACATATCATGTATGCACCAACGACGACCCGTACGGCACGCCGTACAGTATAGAAACCGGGACACAGGACATTTGTTTTATGGCATTTCTTAAATTTTATCAGTCATTACCCGATATTGCGTACAGCTGTCACAGAGTCTGATTACATGTTATCGCCTTTAATTTCGGCTTACCATAAAGTAAGATAGAGGCGGCGTTAGCTATCAAAATTGAAACCAATCTGTCGGTCATTGCCCCCATGAAGAGTCCAAGTAGGATAATTTTCTCCACTAGTTTTGCTGTCTTTAATAAATGAAAAGTGATACGTATATACATACTTTTCGTTGAAAACAGCGCGACTAACGGAGAAAATTATCTTACTTGGACTCTTCAATTGGGGTCAATGACCGATGGATTGGATTCAATTGTGATTTATGATTTTGATAGCTAACACCGCCTCTATCTTACTCTATGCGGCCTACAGCTTACAGGTGACTATTGTTATGGGTAAAATAAGTTTTGCCCAGGGTCTCGCAAAAGGTAACGCCGACCCCGGTACCCACCATAATAATCGTTAATAAATAAATTTATTATATCATAATACCCACGGTATAAAGAAGATAATTTCCCTACATCATGATGGTACCCAAGGTTTACGTAAGTAGCAGTTACTCGATTAGGTTTAGCAAATACAACTAAAACGCATCCATCCAATTGGCCTACAATTGGCTAAACTTTAAAGTATGACCTATCATTTAATATCTATGTACATGTATTTTCATCGGATTCTTTTACAGTATCTTAAAATCCAATCGCTGAAGACAACCATAGAAATTACAAGAATTAATCAATTCTATAGCTCAACTACTCTGTTTTGGAAACTAATGAGTTTTTACAATTCAAATTTCCAAGTTTTTTCCAATCGGGGCTTTAAGTGTGGTAGGGGTGCAAAGAGACTCAGTCCCCTACCTCTCACTGTACTTGTAAAGTGTCCCCTTTAATGTTTCTCTAAAAAGCTTACTGAAACACTAAACTGTTTGTTAAAAATAATTATACACAATAAAACATTTGAAAAATTGGCTTGGCAATTTAGCTGAAATCACTAGGTGTTAATCAGTGTTCTGATTAATCTACAAACAAAACTAATATTAAATATAAATTATAAATTATACAGCAATATTTACTTATTATACATACCTTTTAAAGAAAAAGTAGAAGGAAAAATAGAGAGTTAAGAGAAATTACAAAAACATAGGCGTAAACTGGGGGGGGGCAAGGGGGAAGGGCAATTACCCCCCTAGAATAAATCAGAAAGGGCATTGCCCCCTCTGATATTTAACATACTGTGGCGATGTATACAACGCACCGCGAGTCGTCAAAGTTGTTTACAATATTGTTAGTGGATAAGTGGAAATCCCATGTTCTAGAATATTCGATGATTATCTCGTTAGGGTAATTTCGAAAATGTTCCAGAACAATCGAGGCTTATACATAACGGCTGGTCAAACGCTCAATAAGTCAGTAAGCTCGTGAGTACAATCCGCGACATTCTCCACGATATATTCGGCAATTACTCCATAATTGTAACGCGTATCGATCTTAGATCATATACATATATTGTATATGATCTAAGGTATCGATATATTCAGCGATTCATCCGTAATTATAACGAGTATCGATATTTGTTTTTCACATTAATGTACATACATATTTATGTAATATAGTGTTTATTTTAATTAAATTGTGAGTGATTTTTACCACCTAAATGCAACAATACCTTGTTTTAAAACAAGTACAAAACAGCTGGTTATAGCTATTACTATAAAATTTTTTTTTAAGTCTTAATTTTCAATTTTCGCTTATCTAACATAATGTTGGAAAATGAATAATTTTATATAATAATAAGTAGGTAGTAAAGCGGCGTTTAGCAGCGGTCAGGTTTGGACTAGGCCACTGGGACTCCGGGGCATGCCTTCTATTCTTATAATAAAATAAAAAATATCGCCCTGTAAAGTGACTTCTCTAATGGATGCGTTTTAGTTTACAAATTGAACATATTTAATGTCACGATCATATCATATTTATGATAACTGGTATGCACAGAAGGACATCAGAGAAGGGGCTAAGCCCCCAAATATTTTAATAGCCCCCCCTAAATCGAAACTTTGTTAGAAATATTTTTCGTTGTTTTTATAATTATCTATTGGTTTTTTTTTTTTAAATCGTAAAATAAGAAATAATAAAAATACAATAGCATTAACAATACCAATTAGTTCGGCTACTTGCGAAAGAAGTTTCAGTGCAATGAAAAAAATAAAAACTTGGCTAAGGTTCAGCGATCTTTCAATACTATATATTGAAAAATATACATCGAAAAATATAAAAAGCGATGATATTTTGAATATTTTTACTGATACAATTAGATATTTATTATTAAAATAAAATATTAATTATTTTTATATATACGTTATTTTTAGTAAAATTTAAACATATCTATATTTTTAATAGTAATAAGTTTTACTTTTGCATGAGAAGGGGGTGTGGGCAGTGGCGGACTGGCCCGGGGTGCTAAAGTGCGATCGCACCCCGGGCCCATAGAAAAACAAAAAAGGTTTTTTATATTGAAAATAATTACTTTATCATTATTTGCCACCATCACATTTTATTCTTATTATTAATTGTATTTATTATCAAAACATAATATTAAAATAAATAATACAAAAGTATAAATTGTAAATGATTAAAATAGACATAAGTACATAACCAACTATTGAATTCGTATTTCGTAGGTATATAATTTTGGGAATTTAAGATAATATAATGTTTCTATTATTAATTATTATCGTCTGACATTTCCGCATGCTATAAAGATATATATAGCATATCATATTATTATATTCGTATGGACACACTCACACACATTTTATATTATTACGACCGACAACGTTGACGAGTGACGATAACGTCGATTCGCCGATAACTATTCAATTTCGTTTGACTTGCTAAAGTACTGACTGCTGTCTGCTAGAAAAACAGGTACTTATATTCATTTTTTAAAAGTTTTTCTATCAATACATTTTTCTATTTATTAATAATTATGAAATAATATACATAGATATTGTCGGCAGGCAGGCCCGGATTATACGTATTAAATTATACAAATTTTTTATAATAACTGATTATATTATTCTGTGATAGTGCACCGTGCACGTGCGTTTCGCCGCTTCGTAATTTGTTATCATTTATTGTTTATCCGAATCTCGTCGGGTACCTACTCGTTATTTCGTTTTGAATATTCTGTTGCTTAGTGATGATAAAGTATGAATAAAGCTTAATTAGGTTATTTATATTATATAGTGTGTTATATGTTAAATCCCAAATGCCATTATATTGGCAACGTAAGTTTTTCTATCTAACGCCCAAATGCCATTATAATGATAAGTCACCAAAATTCAAGTTTGGGTAGTCTAAAAATTTCAAAACTCGAAATTTCTCTTAATTTGAGTTTGTTTAATGCAAAGAACACATGAAATATTTTTTTTCCATCAGGTTATAATTCGGGACTGAAAGGGTTAAATATACCAGCGTTGGCCGTTCAGCACTTCAGCAATCGAGAATTCAAATATTAAAAATTTGCCATAAACAGTAAACACAAAACGGTGATCACTGACATTTCTATAATAAATTATTATTCTATGACATAAGTGTTTAATAAAATCACAATAAAATTAACGGTCGTCATCGTTGTTGTTATTCTTCCGACCACAATCAATACCAACGACGCAGTAAAAATAGATATGATACTCGTACAATTAATTGACCCTTAATCCAGGTCTGTGACGACACGATAGTCATATGTTCATATTTTGTTTTAAATAAAGTTAGTCCACATTATTTTAACTACCTATAACCTATATAAAAAACCATTAATGTTTTAAATTATTATTTTTTATCGAAATCAAATTATTATATTAGTATTAAATATTGTCCTGAAATAGTATATCTAAGTTTTATATTTGCATTTATATTTTATATTTACACTCCAACAGATGATTCTAATGAAATAAAAACAAAAAACTCTTTTTTATTTCCACAACATTTTTTTTTTAACTTAACGATGTTTATTTTTTGTGATACTTTGAATACGATGCATTTAAATTAAAAAATTTGAAACATTCATTTTTTAGAGTTGGTATTGAAGTATACGCTTATAATGGCAGACAAATATTATAAGCACAAAAGTGGAGCTGAAAAACGTAAAATTCGGTCTGAGAAAGAATTACAATTATCGAGTAGAGATCCAAAACAAACAAAACTTAATTTTTTTGCAAGACCAACACATTTAAAAACCGATAGTACAATCGATAAATAAACCAGTAAATAGTGAACAAATCGAAGATGAAAGTAGTGATGACAACAATGGCGATGATAAATATTTCGACTTTTCTAAATCTAAAATTAAAAAAAATGATTGTGAAGAATGCATACCATGCGTTTTTAAACTTTTACAAAAATATAATTTGCATTCAGCAGCGTATTCAAATTTATATATATTATATAAATATATATTAACTCTGGCATGCACACAAACAAATTGTGAAAGGGCATTTTCCAAGTTGAAAATTATAAAAAACAGATTACGTTCAACAATGGAACAAGATTTATTAAACGCGCAACTTCTTCTAAGTATAGAAAACGATTATTTGCCTGATACAGAAAGTATAATTGATAAAATTTCAGAAATTTCTACAACATTTTCAAAATTATTACATTTTTAAAAATTATACATTTTATATACACAAATATAATACAAGATGTTTATTAATTGTTTTCAAAAGATAAAAATGTAACTATTATAAAAAAAATTAAATTTATTTTACATTATTAAGATTAAGTTTATACAGTCCTATTGTTTAAAAACTGAAATTCTTCTTATTTCAGAAAATAAGTATGTACTATAATGAATACATTAAAACAATTTGCTGAGAATAAAATAGAAAGTGCATTATATGTTTTTTTTATTTTATAGAATGTTGATAGGGCCCTAAAAATGTTTTTGCACCCCGGGCTTTTTTATTCCAGTCCGTCACTGGGTGTGGGGGCGAAACCCCAGCGGGTTATTTTACATTGAATTATTATAGCCCCCTTAATGTTACGTTAGATGAAATGAAACTTGCTGGAATTGAGGAGGCAAAACTCGCTGCTCAAAATGGGGAAGTAGATGAACAAGGTTGTAACTGTTGTTGCTGATGGCGCCTGGTCTAAAAGATCCTATAAATCCAATTACAATGCTTCGTCTGGTGTAGCATCAATTGTTGGGTATAGAACAAAAAAATATTTATTTATGAGTGTCCGCAATAAGTACTGTGCCATATGTGATAGAGCCTTAAAAACAAACCATATAGTTCGTGAACATAAGTGCTATAAAATTTGGACTTCAACTTCTACTTCTATAGAATCTGATATTATAGTTGAGGGCTTCAAAGAAAGAATAGCAATGCATAATATTATATATAATAAACTAATAGGTGATGGTGATAGCAGTGTTAGTAAAAAATTACTACTCGCTAAACCTTATGGTCCTGATGTTTTAATTCAAAAAATTGAATGCAAAAACCATGATTTGCGTAACTATATAAATCCGGAGATCAAAGAAACACCTTGGGAAATAATTTACAAAAACTTCGTTGTGCAGTTACTAAGGCAATTGAATATAGAAAAAATAGTGATGGAACACATAATGAAAAAATTATTTATTAAAACATGATATTATGAATGACCCATACCATGTTTTTGGAAATCATGAAAATTGTGCAACATACTTTTGTAAAAAAAAAGATAAAAAAAAAATAATAAAAATTATGTTTTAGACATAGAAAAATCTAGACTTTGGACAGATATTTTATATGGGAGAAATTTATTAACTCATCATGCCTCAAGTTTAATTTATAATGTCAACAGTAATTTGGTCGATGGTTATAATAGTATTGTTGCTAAATTTGTAGGTGGTAAAAGAATACATTTTTCTCATAAAGGGTAATACCAAGCGCGATGTATAGCTGCAGTGTTATCTTATAATACAGGACCAAAATGTATTAGAATTTTGCATAAAAAGATTTTCAATTTAGTCCTGGTGATTTTACGAAGCGTTTTATAAGTGGAAAACAGAAGAAAAAAAATATGTAAAATGAAAAGAAAACTTTTATTTGAACCAAGAAGTAGACGAGTTACTAAAAATAACTTACCAAATAATGACTATGGAAAATGCGAAAAAATATATGTGAAGAACTGGATATGGATGGAAATGATTACGAAGTAAAAAAAATTGGAATATATGAACAATATAATAATTAAAAATATCGATGAAATTAAATTTATAGAAAAATCGACTACACTTCAATCGGAATGCGAATTATGGAACAAAGAAAAATTCGATTAACCGCATCGAATTTTGGAAAAATTTGTAAACTTACAGTTATATCAATATTGTATAAAACGTTTTGTGGTAATGAGCATACGAGGTATGGTATTGAGTGTGGACCTTTTGCAAAGGCAAAGTTTAAACAATTAACAGGATTTAAAATTCAAGAATCTGGACTTTTCATAGACGAGCATCAACCGTTTTTAGTACCAAGTCCTGATGGACTTATAGATAATAATGGTATAATTAAAATAAAATGTCCCACAACAATAAAATAATTAACTCCAAAAGAAGCTATAGAATCTAGGAAATTAAAATTTGCAACTCTACACAGTCAAGGAAATTTGCAATTAAAACAAAGTCACAACTACTATTTTCAAGTTATGGGCCAATTAAAAATAACTCAACGATTATTTTGTTATTTTATATGGTCACCTAAAGGTAATACATAATATTGAAAACGTATTGTTAAATTTTTCTTTATATTTTGTTTACCTCTTATACAGGTATACTTTTTCAAAAAATGTTTAAAAATGAAATCATCATTGGAAAAATTTTATTTTGAAGCGATGTTGCCGGAGTTATTTGACTCAAGAATGGATAAAAACCTTAGTTTGCAGGATTAATGGTATGGTTATAGTCAAATAGTATTTACTAGAGTGCCTCGATAGGTTAGGTTAGGATAAAGCTCGAGGCACTCTAGTATTTACTATCTATATTATTAATATAATATTCAACTGAAGTTTAAATTGTATAAATTATATAATTATATTATTATTTATTAAATATATACTTGGATTTAAATATAATTTTAAAAATGACAGCGCAGTGTTCATATTTGGATTGCAATAATTTTCAACCAATATCTTTCACAATAGTTTTAAACATCTTTGTAACATAATAATATAATGAAACGTATTTCATTTTAACACATTTTCATACAACGAATAATTGATTATAATACGGTAATATACGTCAGAATTGTTCATATGACGTACATTATATTATTATAAATAATAATCATTAATTACAGAATACATTTTTATAAAAATTTTAAGTTAAAAATCGAGAATAAATTTTAGAAATAATTTATGCTAGGATTAATGTTATTATTATTATAATGCTTATAGTTTATTCAATTATATTATATATATGCAATTCATTTTATTTGTGACTATGATATTTGGTACGACGTGTCGACGTGGGGACGGTTTCTACTGAATCAATAAAATTAATGGACGATAATGCTGATAAAGATTTCAGATTAATCTCACACATACTAATGTGTATATACTTTCCACATACTAACAAGCAAATTTACACCATAATGTTAAATTGCCTATGCTATTTTCCTTAAAATATGGTCAACTGGAGTCCCCTTAATGAGCTTCATTGGTATTTTTAATAAAAATTAACCCATATTAAATTGCTATCAAATTTAATTCATAAGTTATCTATTTGTTGTAATAAAATGTATTGAAAAATTATAAAGTAATTTAAAATATATACGTAATGATATGTTAATGATCTGGTTTTAAACTGCAATGTCCATTAACTGTATGTTCAGCTTCATTGTGGTTGGTTTGCGTAAAATAAGCATTTAAACCTTTTTCAATGCGGTCCATTAATGCTATTAAATCGTTACGGGTACCTAGAATAAAACAGAATAAAAGTAAATACTTTAATAGCATATAATAAAATTAAATAGTTTTTCAAAATAAAAAAAGTCAATAATAGCAGAATATGATTGGAAATAAATTATAAATAAAGAATTTTTGAAATATTTTCTGTATGATATATTTCAAATTTGATTTTATCAAGGTTATGATAAGTTGATTTACTTTAAAATAACTATGATTATGTATAATAACATACAATAACGATATAATAACAATAAATATTACTTTAATTTGTATTTTTATTGAAAAAAAAATGTATACAGTAACTAATATTCCTAACTTATGATGTTAACTATATATTTGATATTTTTTTTTTTAGATTTTTAAAGGGTTGACATATGCATCTTAATTGCATATATAGGTTATGACATTTGTTTATAGTACTTTTGTTTATAGTTAATGTTAGTATAAAAATACAATTTCACAGATAGAAAATAAGAAAGGAAATTCTAATAAATTCTAAATTCTAATAAATTTTTATATATTAATATATTACAGTGTATTAGAATAAATTTTTCTTTTATCCCACTTAAAAATAAATATAATATTTATACTTACAAATAAAACGATTTCTTGTTAATCTAATTTGATGTACATCTATATCATTTCGAGGAAAATCTTGGTCATCCACCAATGGCTCATTCATACCCACTCCATGCTAAAATTAAAAATTTAGTTAACATTACATCTACACTTAATTGCTGAAAAACATGAAATAACAAGTCAAAAATAAAATATAACTTACTGTTCATAACTATTTAATAGGAATGAATATTATTATTACCAAACCATTGATAAAAAAAAAGTTAAATTAATTAAATAATTTAGATTAATTATGTACTTACAGAGTCCAAGTGTTCACTGAGAATTTTTAACTGTTGTTCAAGTTTTTCTTTTTCATTCATCATATCAAGGATTTCTCTCCTGGTAACATTTTTATTTTCAATTGCAGAAGGCATGATTATATATTTGTTAACTGAAATCAACAAGGAATCATAAATTGTTAAAATTCAATGGTAAATTAATTAACTTTTTTTAAAAAAAAAACAAACAAAGTATTATATAATAGCTGAGGAACAGATAAAATCAACAAATTGATTGTAAATTGTATAAATATGTTTTTAAATTACAATATCAATTTAATACAATTGTTGACTAAAATGATCAGATTTTTTAATGTCAAATTGTTGTTAAACGGATAAACAATAAATTATAGTTCATATTAAACGAGGCTACGATTAAATAAAACTCCTTAAAGTTGTAACTTAGAAAATTAAAATAAGTGCTTTGTAATCATGCCGTGCATTCAAAAACAACATTTATGCGGAAACATCTGATAAGTTCACTAAATAAGATAACATTATTTATGGTTATTGTTTTGTGGTAGTAGAATTGAACATAATTTTAAAGTGGGAAGTGGTAATAAACTTAAGGTTTAAGGTTATGTCACTTATGGTTCATTTTGTAAACAACACGTTTTGGAAATGTTGACTCCAATTGAACCATATTAAGAATATTCACACACAATTAAAATGCCTATGCAGAAGAAAAAGGTACGTATAAAAACACTTATATTGTGTGTTGATTATATGTTTCATCATTCTTGTATTTTTTGTACAGTTCCAATCCGGAGAGGGTGCTCGATATGTTACCAGGCGAGCAGCGCTGAACAAACTTCAGTTGTCATTGAAAGATTTTCGGACGTTATGTATAATCAAAGGAATTTATCCGAGAGAACCGGCTCATCGACGCAAAGCGCAAAAAGGAAAAAGTGGTATTCATATTCTGTATTTGAAAAAAGACATATTATTTTTGTTACATGAACCAATGATATGGAAATTACGTGATCTTCAGGTAAGAACTAATTTAACAAATCTAGAAATATAATAAGATGCTCATATTGTTAAATAATTATGTCTAGGTCCACCTAAATAGATTACGTAGAGCAAAAGGCATGCATCAAAAAGATTTAATAAAACGATATGCAAATACTATTCCAAGAGTCTCCATTGATCATGTAGTGAAAGAACGATACCCAACATTCATTGATGCATTACGTGATATGGACGATGCTCTAACCCTTTGCTGTTTATTTTCAACTTTTCCAAAATTAAAAAGCATTCCTCCAAATTTAATTGCTTTATGTCGTCGTCTTACAGTTGAGTTTATGCATGTATGCATTGCTGCACGTGCTTTACGCAAAGTATTTATATCTATTAAAGGCATTTATTTTCAAGTTGAAATAAAAGGTCAAACCATTACTTGGGTTATTCCTCATAATTATCCACATGAAGTAAGATGTTGATATTTTTCTTGTTGCTACTAAATAGTTATAACCTTGTATTTTAATATTTTTAGCCACAAAAAAAGCAAGAAGTTGATTTCTATACTATGGCTACTTTTGCAGATTTTTATTCAACAGCTTTAGGTTTTGTTAATTTCCGTCTATATAACAATTTAAACTTGTACTACCCTCCTCGACTTGGCACATATAATGGTAATTATAGATTTTTCTTGTATGTTAAAAATTATTAGAATTAAACATTTTTAGCTGAGAAACTTGAAGAAGAAATTTTGGAAGAAAATGAAACAAGTGATCGAGTAGCTGCCTTAAATTTACCATTACTGAAAACTGCAGAAGGTGTTGAAGACCCATCTGAATCTGAATTAGATTTGGATACTTTTGTCATTGTAAACTATACATTTTAATCTATTTTTGAACCTAAATTTATTTTTTATTTTAATTCTAGGATGGCGATGAAGCTAAAGCTGAAGAAGCACGTAAAGAATATGAAAAAGTGAGAAAATTAAAGAAATTATTTGAAGGCCTTAAAGTTTTCTTAAATAGAGAAGTACCTAGAGAGCCTTTAGTATTTGCCCTTCGATGTTTTGGTGCTCAAGTGTCTTGGGATGAGACCACTTTCCCTGAAGGTGCTACATTTGCCGAGACTGATGAAACTATTACTCATCAAATAGTGGACAGACCTGACCTCAATAAACAATATATCTCAAGGTAAATTTAATTAAAATTTTTTTTTTGCATAATTTTAACAATATTATTAATTAGTTAGTTTAATATTCATCTTCTCATGATAAGTATAGATTCTCTCTATTTAAATAATTTTATAGCTATAAAATAATTTTTTAAGAAGACGTGATACTTGAGTGATATCTAGTGATGGGTCGAACTGTTCGAATTTCGAACCGAACTGAACCAAACCCTTGATGTTCGGTTAGGTTTGAAATTCGAACTTTGCATGAAAAAAAATCGAACCGAACTATCAAGCAACTTTTACTGTTCGAAAATCGAACTTGAAAATATTTGTCAAACCAGACTTACTGGCCACTATAGTTCGAAAACCAAATATTTGTACAATTCTTCAAAATTTATTTTGAAAAATAAAAATTGATAATGATTATTTAGAAATAATTAGACTATTGGCGATAGAAAGTGGTAATCTGTAAAGGGCACGTTATGCATTATTTATTATAATAATGTTATTTTTCCAGTCGCATGTTACACATCCACCCTCCGCCGACCAAAACATTAATAAGTTGTTTATCACCAATAAAGGCAGTTTATTATATACACTACATTTATAAATTAGCTATTTTTGTTTTTATCATATTTATTGTAGAGGTTAAAATCTATTTTGGGTAAATCCATGGTAATATTCCGATACCGCGACTGTGCTGTTTATAAAATCATGTTTATAACTTACGTTTTACATTATAAATTCTACTAATCATTCTATATTTGTGAATTATAGTTATTATTACTACTTTTTTTATATATTGTTAAAATGTACTGATGTATTGTCATATTACACTCGATACTCAATTAATATTTTATAAGCTACAAGACAACACGAGAGAGCACAATACTGGTTTTGAAAAATAATAATAGTATTAAGAAATTATTTAAAATTTAAGTGTATTGTAAATAAGACAATTACTTAGACTTAAAAGTTAAAATGTAGAATAGGTAATACAAAAACTTAAAATACAATAGTAATTAATAATTATGTTTGATTTAATTTGTAGGTAGATACAATGTACATGATAAAAAGTATTGAGTTTGAGTTTGAGTTCTACTTAAAATCATAATAGATTTGGTTCGGTTCGATAGAAAATATAAAGGTTCGGTTCAGTTCAAGTTCGAAAAAATAATTTTAAGTTCAGTTCAAGTTCGGTTCGATTTAAAAAGTCAGGGTTCAACCCATCACCAGTGATATCCAAAGTGTGCCCCAGGTTTAATGCTTTTTAAATAAACAATATGCAATAAAATATAGAAATCCATACATGTGTATACGTGAAATGTATTCATGGATTTATAAATAAAATAATCATTTATTTATGATTTTTCGGCAGAAAACTAATGTATAGTACAAAACCATTTTATGTAAATTCAAAGTAGAGGCTCATTTTATTTTAAAGATGAGCAAATAATTTATGATACATTTTTATTTTTCAATAATTTTTATATTAGGCAAAAAAATGTATTATCAGTTTTCATACAAATAACTTTGAATCCATTTTTGGTTATAAAAATTCACTATATTATATTATTAACTTACAGATATTATATTCAACCACAATGGGTGTTTGATTGTGTTAATGCACGAGAGCTTTTACCAGTAGAAAAATATTTTATTGGTACAACATTACCTCCTCATTTATCTCCATTCACTGTTGAATACCGTACACAACGTTATGTGCCACCAGAAGAAAAAGCTTTAACTGACCCAACTGTAATAGTTAACAAAGGTAAAATGTTTTTTTGTGTTAATCAAAATGAATATAAACTAATATATGTTATTCTCTAAAGATCAAGAATTATTGGATGAAATTTCCGATAATGAAATTGAAGACATTGAAGATGACAAAAAAGAATCTGAAGACGAAACAATGGATGCTGATGATGAGGATCTAGATGAATTCGATGGTGAAATGACTGAAGAAAAATTGGCTGCAATTAAAGTAAGAGTGATTTTATTTTATATTATTATAATTTAAATGGTAACTATTATTGATCATTATTTAGCGAAAACAAATGAAAGTAGAATCTGGCACACCAGAATTCATAAACAAAGGGAAATTACGACGTGAAAATCATCAAATGCAACTTCTTAAAGAGAAAATGATTCAAAAGAAGTACAGAAATCTTTATAAAAGCATGAAATCTGGTCGTATGAAGAGAGAAAAGGAAATTAAATTACTCAAGTACAAAAGACGTATTCATGAGAGGACAAATTTGGAAACTAAACGTGCTGAGATAAGAGCAAGAAGAGCACAAGCAGCAACATTAATGTAAATGTTATATTATTTTTTAATTTAAAATTTGATTAATTTTTGATTATGTTTACTATAAATAAATTTAAAGTCAATTTTGTCAATTAAAAGATTTTTATTGTTTTATTCAACCCCAATTTTTATTTAGTTATAATATATTTGTTAATTATAGTTTCAGCAGATATCATATGCATATGATTATTTTGATTCTTATGATTTTAATCCTTCACTTTTTTTAAATAATATACCAGATACTATAGCCTATAGGTGCTGTATCTTGCAAATCCTATGTAAGAAAAAATTATTTTTATCTTCTCTAGGTATTTTTCATAATTTTAACCATGAAGTATTTAGTACTCTTTTTAAACACTCTCTAGGTACATAAAACTGATTTGATTATTCTAATATGTATTTTTCCTGGAGATAGTTAACATGATTTTTATCTTAATTTTATTCTTAACTATATGAAGTTGGTTCGATGATTCAATATTATTAAAATAATTATTAGTTATAAATTGTTTTAAATCTAATAGTCAAAGAAGAGAAAAGAATAAAAAAATGAATATAATTTTTAGGGCTTACATTTCATTCAATTTGCAATATTTATAGAAAGGGACGCATTGTTATTTTATATAATTGAAAATATCAAAAGGTCGTTTATTAATTGATTTTAATTATAAATGAAAATATTTATACGTTATACAGGGATATCCAAATTATGGTCTGAGAACAAAGTGAATAGTTTATCTGTGAAGATATAGAATCTGTGTAGTATCCAAACAATTTTTAATATTTATGGTTGTTTATATTTCTATAAAATTAAAAAATTACATTTGTTCATACAAATTTTGCTTAAGAGCTTTTGATATTTTTTGTGGCTTTCGAGTAAAAAATTTTGGAGACCCATGCATTATATAATTGAAAAATATTTTATGAATATAAATGTTCTCGTAGCAGACATTGAATCTCGGTATTGTTATTGAAATATTTATATTTATAGCTTTAAAGCCTTTTTTAACCTCTATTAAAATAATATGAAGATGAAAGAGTTGAGTTCTGTATTTATTTTTAAAATCTGACAAAATTATTATACATAAATATGTTATTCTTTTCCCAAATGTTTTAATTAAACTGACACACATTTGATTTTTAATTTGAGAACATATTTAGTTTAATACAATGGTGACGTCCAATGATTAAAACGACTATCGAGTAACGAAACTATTTTACATTCAATAACATATTGTACTTAAAGTTAAATTTTTTCATCAAAAAAACACCTAACCAATAAATTGATATACAATGAAATTATTATATTATATTATATATATTATACATATACTAGATGGGTACTTGTTGAAAGAACAATTATAGATAACATGATCCTATCTATAATCGGGGTTACCTCAAAAATAAAATGTTAAAACTGAAAAAAATGATTGGAATATAATAATTATTTTACGTACGTAACCTCGACCCCCCCCCACATTGGAATTATACATTTTTTTTTTTTGCCAATATTTAGTATGCATTTGCATTAGGGATCTTAGATTTATTTTTTAAAAATATGGGACATTTTAAATCATACTTATTTTTGAAATTCATATTGGTGTTAATTTGTGATGAGGGTGAGTGGACTTATGTTAACTACGATCAGTGCCGTATTTAGATATTTTGCGCCCTGGCGCAAAAAAAAAAAAATTGGTGCCCCTCACCTCTAAGGGGTCTACCCACGGAAAATATAGGAGATAGATTCTCGTGAATCTTTTAGATATTCTAAAATCAATGCTATTTTTGTGTAGTAAGCACGCCACCGCACGCTGCACGCGACAACAACAAATTAGGGAACTAATATTAGGTATATTATTAATATTCTGGATCGCTGATAGCTATATTGCTATAAATACATTAATAATATATATTAATAAATTAAATACATTATCTTTAATTTATGATACTGTTATTAAAAACAAAAAAAAAAATAAAAATTTCAAAATAATTTTAAAAGTTCAATAAATCACAAGTGAGCAAATTTCCGATCACAAAATTTTGGCGTCCGGGGCAGTTGTAGCCAGTGCTCCCCCCTAAATGCGGCCCTGACTACGATGATTATGAAATATATGATATTTGTTTTACAAATTCTTTGTAAACATTTAGGAGCTAATATTACATTTGGTCTCGATCTAACATTTCATTTTCCTCACAGTTAGTAAATATACAATAAAATAAACTTATTCACAATATTTAATACTTCAAATAAATATTAATTATCATTTGATTTTAAATATTATAGCTTATGAGTAATATACAATGTAAAAAGCTTAATGATATTAAAAAATTTAATTTATAAAATAAGGTACATTCGAAATTGATTATACAAAATACAGGACAAAAGTGTTATTTTTATACTTGTGTCGGAACACTTTATTCAAATACGGGATAATCCTGTAAAATACGGAACGTATGAGATCCTTAATTTGCATGCTAACTTTTGTAATTTGCATGATTTTTATAAAGGCCTGGTATAAAAAAAAAGGTAGGGGGGCTGGAGACATTTGTCTCCAGCCCCCCCTTATTATAAATAATTAATTTAAATGTTTTTTTTTATGTCAATATTTAGCATGTATTTGCATAGCCGATCCTAAACCTCTAGTGTTATCCATTGGTTCATAAAATCAATTAAACCGATTTGCACGTGCCTCCCTTACCAGAAATATTTAAAATTCCTTAATTTTGCAAGCTGATGTCAAAAAATTAACAAATAAATCGGAGGCACAGAAATTGCATTAATTCAAAAATGGCTCCAATGGTTAAAAAAGTTAATGTAACTTGAGGGGAATATCGCATATTGAACAATTCTACTCTATTCTAACTTTTTTTTTGTTTTGTGGTCCATCGAGTACATCTTCTAGTCGACAATTTTGGCTGGATATAATCGGGAAATGATGCCTTGAATTTTCTTATTTCTGTTGGCGATTTTGTTGTGTTTTTTTATTTACGTTTATTAACAATTGTTGTGTTTGGTAGCTGTCTCGTAATTTTCGTCTAAAGTTTTTCATTGTCATTTATTTTCGGTATCTTGTGTATATACTTTATATGAATTTACAATTGTAATATCAAGAAAATGAAAAAAATAAAAAAAACCAGTCGGGGGACTGCCGGTAGAAGTGAAAACTTCTTAAGCACGTTGGGCACCCCGTATAAGAAAGCATTTACGGGTGAGGAAAAAAGTATGAAATCGCGACACCGCCACCGCCACCGCCACCGAGAGTACATGTATATATATACTGTGGTATGTACTGTTATACTTAAGTGTGAACGTGTATGTGTATATATATCGTAGCAACATAGTGAAATTGACCATTTCATGAAAAGTTGACCATTTCATGAAATGGAAACGACTTTTTAACACTTCGCGAAATACGGAAATATTTCATGATATGGTCACTTTTTCATGAAATGGTCGTTCCAATTTGACATCGTGTAATTTTTTTCACAATCTGGTCGTTCACTTTGTGTACCGAAAAAATATTTTATATTTATCAAAATTTTATAATAATTGTTGTTTGTTACATTGTGTAATATGGTTAGTATATTATATTAAGTTTAGTTTTGATATAATTAATAATACGAGTAGTAATATGTAGGTAATTAAATAAATTATATAATAATTTTAATAACTTATATATAATATAATTTATCGTATAGTTAATAATTATTTATTTAAACAATTCAATGAATTATGGCAACGGCTGTTACATTTAATACTACTTTTAAAACAAGCAAAACGTTTAGTTTGACAAGCACTTTTGCATGTACAACTCAAAAATCCTTGACCTCCAGATATAATTTTAACTGTTTCACGCAAAGTTAATTCGTTTTGCTTGTCAACTTGATTAGCAGATATGAAATATGATGTGGTACGCTGCATATTTCCAGAACTTAACCATCCTTTAATTAAACCATGTTCAGTTTTTACTCTATACAACTCATTTCTTTTCTCAACTATAACAGCAATTATGCGTGTTGGGTCCAAAGGCCCTCTATCGACTTTTGGAACAGGAATTGTGATACAGTCATTAATATTGAACGTAGGAATTATAACCTATAACAAATAACAAAAAAAAAATTACTTAAATATATTGTACACATCCAATTTATTTACTATGTATGTCGAATTGTTATAAATAATAAATAATTAGATACCTGTAACATTCTTTTGGCGGCTTTGTTTTGACCTATATGCGCTGCTTCACGTTCTTCTTCTATTTTTTGATTTGTTTTACACAAATCACAAAAGTCTTCTGTGGATTCAATTTTACAAATTCTGCAATATCGTTTAACATTTATTTATTCTTGTATATAAACTTCTTGTGGTAAATTAGATGTTGTAAATCCAACCTTAGGCTCACAACCAAATAATGCTTTGTAAGGAGATCGGCCAATTATGCGATGGTGTGAAAAGTTTTTCTGGAATTGGACAAACTTCAATCCCACAGACCATTTTTTAGATTTATTGTCCTTCATCCATGCTCAAAGCATATTTTTGACATCCTGATTGATACGTTCAATACTTCCCTGACTCTGAGGATGTCTTGGTCTCCCATGTACAATAATACATTCCGGCCAAAGTTCCTTAATTTCATTAATAACAGAATTTACAAACTCTCTATCACTTTGTAAAACTTTCGGTGCACCAAAAATTAAAAAAATTGTGAGTGAATTAGATGCTACTTCGACCGCTCGTTTACTTTTAAGTGGAAATAAAGATATAAATTTTGTATGGTGGTCTTGATAGTTTAAAATTCATTTATATTTTCCGTTAGGTAATGACTGGAAATCCACCAAGTCAACTTGACCTTTCTCGTTGAAGTCTTTGTTTACAATTGGTTTGATAACCAATTTACGATTTGACCCTTTCTTACTATTACAGATTGCGCATATTGATAGAAAATTTTCAATAGCTGGTCTTGGAATCGAATATTAATTGTGCCGCACGCATTTTCCCCACACCACCATGCCCAGTACGTATATGATAATTACTTAGTCTTTCGAACAAGTCTTCGTATGACACAACATACCTATAAAATATATAAATTAATTATCATTGTATATTATCATTTATTTATTTATTTTATCTACGTGACGCTACGACACGTATAAATGTTCACGTGCAACGTGCCATAGCGTCGGATTTCCACTTTCTGTAGCGCACATTCGTAATATTTATTGGCAAGCCTTCAGTCGAGCACAGTGATCGCTCTTGGACCGTCGCGCCGCGGTCATCGCAGTATGGTTTTCGTACGCAATTTGTTTTTAATTACTTATTTACTTTATAGATATAAATATATTTTACTTGATATCATCTTTGTCGTCCGTTTTTTTATGAATTAAATATTTCTTCTCGGCCACAGTTAATACATCATATTTTTGTAAAATATAATAATCACGTATTTTCTTTGCACCTCTGTGAAATTTAAATTTAAATTAGTTACCGATACTCACGATTAATGGGTGGTCAAATTATCTATTTTGTAGGTACTTGTTTAATTTAGCATCAGTAATTTCGGCTATAATTGTCTCAATCTTCATATTTGTATATGGCTTTTTTCCCGGTTTGTCCAAATAATACTTGTTCATTCGAATGTAAAATTCACTTTTTGGATTAAAATTTTCCATATTATTAAAATTATACAAAATTATTTTAAAGTAAATATCTATAATGCGTGAATGTTCGAGCACAATGCAATCCGTTCACCGACTATACACTTTTGAACAAAAATCTAATATGATAAATCAAAATTAATAAAATATAACCGGCTCATTTCAGATAACCAAGTAATTTTATTTAATAGATATTATTGTATAATAGAATTTGTGGTAAAGGAATTTCGTGCTTAAATCAATAGTTATAAATTATAACTTATAACATATTTCATATCTACCAATAAAAATGATTATAAGACCATGATAAATATTAAATATATTTTCGGTACACAAAGTGAACGACCAGATTGTGAAAAAAATTACACGATGTCAAATTGGAACGACCGTTTCATGAAAAAGTGACCATATCATGAAATATTTCCGTATTTCACGAAGTGTTAAAAAGTCGTTTCCATTTCATGAAATGGTTAATTTCACTAAGTGGCTACGACATATATACTGTAACAATTTCACTTCGGTTTTAAAAATTTTGTAATGCTTAGGAAATAATGTACCACGAATTGTTTTATTTATCAATATAAAATACTATACATAATTATTTCAGTTATTTTACATAAAAGAAAAAAAAATTACATATCAAAATTATTACAAATGCTTTACAAAAAGTAAACTTAGAAAAATCAATTTCCATCCATCATTTCACCAACTCTTGCACCATCATCACTGCCAGCATCATCGCCAATTTCTAAAACTGATACAATCGGTTAATGGTGGCTAAAGTATGATACAAACAATTTTGATTCGAATTTATTCAAATATCTTGTAAAGATCGCATCAATAGTAGTTTTGTATCTTGTGCTAAGATTGCGATCATTTGGCATGTTCAAACCAAATTCATTTTTGAAAAATTCCAATAATGGTAGATTTTTATCGTCTGCAAAATTTATATAGAAATCCCCAATCAAAATCATTGGCAAATCATCGAATCTTTTTCCAATTTTTTGATGAAGCAATGCAGATGCGCCATGAGAATAAATAAATAAATTTTCATAAAAGAAGTCTCGTATAACACGCAATGAATTATTAGGAGAAATGTAAACGGCAACCATAATGATGAATTGATTAGCGCCGCAGTGGCAACGACTTATACACATATCGCCGATATCAGAAGTAGAAGTGTTAAACATCGTGACGTATTTGGCATGCACATCCATATAATTTGTGCAATAATGAACTGTGTCGGTATTTTGATATATAACTACTCCTCCTGCTGGACGATTATTTCTTCTGAAACTCGCCACAAAGTTAAAATTTGGAATGTCAATTTTTTCGTCGTTACCCATATGAGTTTCTGATAATATTAATACATTAATCTTCTTAACAAGAGCGTCAATTTCTAAATCATTCACATGCTCACGTAAACTTTGACAATTGAATGAAAATATAGACAATCTATTATTCTTATTGATGAAATCAAGAAATGTTTTGGTGATGGTTTGCAGAGGATTTTCATGCAAACGTTTCAATTCAATCGATAAATCATCTCGATGAGTTGTTGATCTCTTTTTTTTGGTTGCATTTGAATCTTCTACCTGTGCTTTTCCTACTCTGCCATGATGAAATATCCAGCTCTCCTTTGTGTTTTCTTTAGTAACTAAGAATAAACCTTCTATGTTAATAACTCTTGTTAATGCAACGTATACCAATTCTCTTGAGTGACAATGGTCGTATTCGTAAACGATAACATCGAAAGTACCTCCTTGCGCTTTGTGAATTGTCATTGCCAAAGCGGAAATTAACGGAAAATGTTTTCTTTTTGCGAGTATAGTTTTATTTCTGTTGAGTGGCTATGATACGGCACAATGCTTGCGGCTACCCAAATTGGATAAACTATTTTTATATTGAAGAATATTAACAGTATGTATAAAATCACGTACTTACACTGCGTGAACTACGTATATACTAACGCAGGCGGGCGTTGTTGTTTTCCCGTAACTGCCATCTGCTGCGCGCAGCTTTGATACACTAATGTATATACCACAGTACATATATATACTCGCGGTGGCGGTGGCGGTGGCGGTGTCGCGAGATCATACTTTTTTCCTCGCTCGCAAATATATACACCACTGTATATATATCTACTCGCGGTGGCGGTGGCGGTGTCGCGAGATCATACTTTTTTCCTCACTCGCAAATGCTTTCTTATACGGGGTGCCCAACGTGGCTAAAGAAGTTTTCACTTCAAAAATGTTATGCCACCATGTTTTACTTTTGCGATATATTTGGTATGATTTCTTATTTTAATTCAGTTTTTCCACGCAGTTTATATTTTGATTATAATCTTCAAAACTTTTGGACATGGTATCATTGAAACATCATTCAAAATCATCATTCCATCTTTAGCTCGCCTTTGAACATTTTCAGTATCCTTTGGGTCATAAAAATTTGATAAAAGACTTACCATGCGTTTTTCTTTCCATTTGTTGAACGCAGTAGTGCACCCAAAGGGGGGGGGGGGGCTTTGGGGCTGTATCCCCCCCACCAAAAAATATGTTTTACATTAAATTATACATTATATCATATCATCACAAGAGTAGTATTACAATGATAGGTATGAAAGGTAAAATTTTTTTCAAGTTTTATTATTATGTTAGTTATACGTTAATAGAAAATTAATGGCAATTGTTTACTTGTGTGTAAAGAAAGTAAGAAAATGATTACGCCCCCCCCCCCCCAAACAAACAAAAATCCTGAGTGCGCGCCTAGTTGAACGATGTTGGAAATTGATCAATATATCTCCTTGTTTAAACAATTTGTCATCTTTGAACTTTGGTATTTGTTTTCTTGGGATATTCCACATGTATAAATACCATTTAATTTTAAATAAGTTATTAGTGGACAACTTGTAAAATAATTATCAAAGTATAAAAAATAATTTTTACTTTGAAGTGGAACAAATTTTTAACCACTAGAGCAGCGGTTCTTAACCATAGGGTCGCGACCCAATTTTGGGTCCCCAATAATTTTAAATGGGTCGGATAAAAATATAAAACATTAGTATAATATTTTTATTTTTAAGTCTTATAAATAATAAATGAAACCTCATGTACGTTGGTTATCATGGAGAAAAATTTTAACGAGATTTTTTGAATTAAGAACTGAAATAGAAGTATTTTTAAGAGAAAAAAATGTAATGTTATCCATCCGTTTTCAAGATATAATTTGGTTGACAAAAGTTGTGTATTTATCAGATATTTTTTCGTTATTAAATGAGTTAAATTTGAGTATGCAAAAGCCATTAACTAATATTTTTACTTGTTATAATAAAGATATTAACTACAATCAAAACCAAATCAAGAAACAAGCTTGATGTCGAACCCACGATGCGTATTTCACTTACTAACTCCATAGAAGAACTCTAAATTGATTCATTGGTAAAGCAACATCAAGACCAAGGAAGTCATTAAATTAAAAATTATTTAAAAAACAATACAATATTATTAAAAGAAATGTTTATTTTTAAATATAATGTAATTAATATTATGACTTGTTATGAATACAAGTAATATGAGTAAAAAATGTTATTCAATTAAGAGTACCAAATAGTTATTTTTTATTCTGCATTTGAATATTATTTATAAAAAGGTCGCAGGAAAAATTTGGTAAATATCTTGGGTCGCCACTACACAAAGGTTAAGAACCGATGCACTAGAGCATCTAAGTCTTTTTCAGCCATGTCACCAGATTTCCCTGTGTACACATCGAAGTTCCATAAGTATCCATGTTTGTCAACTAAAGCCTATACTTTGTAACCTCTTTTTATGAGCTTTTTAGGCATATATTGTTTACATGAATTACGACCTTTAAATTTAATCATACATTGATATCCACTATTCGATTAGAATAATGCCTATTTTATAAAATAAAATTTATGCACGGTCTTACTTTGAACAATTAGTCAAAGTTTACTTTACTTCTCTTTGGAATAGCCAAATTATCGTTCAAATGCAAAGACACAGAATCCAACTAAAACAATTGTTTTAGTTGGATTCTGTTTCTTTAATTTTAATTAATTTTTAATTAATTTAATAGCAAAATACTACTAATGTACGTATCATTTAAATCTAGGGCAGTTGACCAATAATTTCTATAACTGCATAGTTTTTAATCCCCATCGGTAGATTTAATCCAATATATGCATTTATTTCGTTATTATTTGTTTCCGTGTATGATTTTCCGTTTCGCATGTAATTTTGATTTGCATAGAAATTAAGAAAGGTAATATACGTAATAAATTCGTCTGTCTGTAAAAATTTGAAAACTGAAAATGAAGTAATTTTAATATTTATATTTTCATTAGACAACCAAACAAGTTCTATGAACTCGTTTTGAAAATTTGAGTTTGTATCATAATTTTATACTTCACTTGCTGTTATGTTCTCTCAGTATATGTACTGCAAGTTCTTCATTTGTTTGATTATTTTCAATACTAGGAAAAAGCTCACGACACTTGGAAAAAATATTTGGTGTGCGTTTATTTGGATTTTTTCGACGATTTGACGAACGATTTTTTTACCAACTTGGATGAATATAAGTAACATTTTCTTCTATATATAATTAAAATGTATACATGTTCATCAATTTCTGAATCGGACTCCGTTATGAACAATGTATGATTATTAGGTTCGGGAATATATGTTTCGTTGACATCGATATCGTCAACTAACGACAAACTTTCGTCATCTGACGGTAGATCTTCGAATAACATTTAATTTACTTTCGTGGTCTGAATAACGTTTAGCCATTGTAATAAAATAATAAAATCGTACACTCCAACGTATAATAAACAATAAACGAATTTGCATAGTACATGTACCACCAATAGTGTCTACTACGAATATCATGTTATTGCATGGTGAGACATATAATAGATGCTCACTTTTACACAAATATTAGGCTATATATTTAAAATAGCTAATTCAAGTTAAAACGAAAATAAATAATATTATATTTGGAATTCAATGAAATAATAATCAAGCAAATCGATCGATTCAATAAGAAGAAAACTAAACATTAGGTCTTATTTAAAAATAATTATTTGAAAACGTTAATTAAATTATATTTAATCATGTTAGCCTTTTAATAATTTAAATGAATTAGCTATAAATAATGGAAATCATATTAAATTTCTTAAATAAAACCAACAGACGACTAAAAAATTGAAAAAAAATGGATTATGGGTGGTATGCTATTTTTCCCACCGTGTCGAATGGGTTATTTTTTTTTGCGGGATTACTTGTATCGCACCGTGCCGAAAAGAGATAAACCAACAATAGCTGTAAAACATTTTAAAACTGATTTTACATTATTAACTTAAAATCATATATCCTGATAATGTTCTTTTATTTTATAATAAAAAATAAAAATTGTATTAATTAATAATTATAATAAAAATAAAATAATAATAACATCTACATACATTATAATATTTTAAATAAAAATAGTTTTTTATGGCTCTAATGGTGTCACACCTAAATCATAGTCTTTATCTTAATTACTAATTGTGTCGCTGTTTTCAGTTATATTATCTTCTCTGTACGTTACTATTAAATTATCGATTTCGATATTCATATAACTTTCATTCTTTCACATTTCTGCTTCTAAGTTTTTTACTTTTTCACAAACTGCTCCCCACTCAGATTTACTCATAGATTTCATTTTTTGTTTACACAGTTTTGCAAGTTTTTTACACTCAAATACCAATTTCAAAGGATCACTCACCAATATTATTTATATATATATATATTTTTCATATTATTATTATAACATATTCAGAGTATGGGTATTTTACCGTAATAATTATTTCCTTCGCTTTCTTTTTACAAATACCACCTACCCCCATTTTTTCATAAATCATGTGATTCAAATATAACGCCTTTATGCCGCCACTGGCCCAGGGTGCTAATGACTCTACTTCCGGCAATGGTAGAGATGGTTAAATAATATTAGTTGTCGATACGAATTTAACCTATGCGCTAAATGGGTAGCATAGTCAAGGCCGTATCTGGCACCCGTATCAGACACCCTGGACCCCCCGAAATTTCTTTAATATTTTACAAATGTTTCAAATACTTATTTATTTTTAATACCAATAAATTTTCTATCAAAAATGACTCAAGCTCCAATTAATCATTGACTGCTTTTAATTTTATATCATAATATCATATGAAAATATGATATTAATTTTAATAAAAGAAGATTAAATCTTTTTCTGTCTTATTTTTAACCAAATATCAAAAGTTAAAATATAAATTCAATAAAATTACAATATACATGTTTTGGACCCTCCCGAAAAAAATTTTTAGATGTGGCTTTAAGCATAGTATATGTTAGGTAGCATTGTTCAATTATCTCAAGGTTTTTTTTATAAGAGGAGCAAAATTTTAAAATGTACTTTTTTTTTGATTTTTGTATCCAGTCACCATAAATATATAATAAATATAAAATTTAATTTGTTTCTGTTTCCTTTTACAAGGAAAATTTAAGAATTTTCTTTGTTTTCTTAATTATATGTAACTATCAAATATTCAGTTTAGTTATTCCAGTTGATTCTCAGATTATATATCTTTAAATGTTATCAATTTTAATTGATTATGATTTATGTACCAATTAATATTGATTGTAATTTTTGTATAAATAATAACCAATTATAACCTAAATAATTTTCTACATATCGATTATATAGAAATAAAATAACTGCGCAGCCTTAGTTACAGATAATTATGTTACAAAATAGTGACATTTCCACATCCAATTGCTTAAGGATTGAATTTAAATGGTAAACAATATGCCAAGAAATTAAATAAATATATTAATCAGAAAAAATATAAATAAATTAACAATAACTTCAATAATAATTCATAATTCATATTTTTTTTTTTTTTTTTTTATAATAAAAATTAATTAAAATATACAATTGATCAACTTTGTGGCAGTGATATACATTCATCAGAGTCGTCATCTTCCTCTTCGTCATCTTCTAATTCAGGCATTGGAAATCTGAGTATGGCTGCCACACCAGTAATTTGAGATAATTCTAAAAATGAAAAACAATTATAAGATGTAAACACTTGAAAATATAATAACTTACGCTCTCCGGTAACATGCATGCTTGAAAATATTTTGACATCACCTCCAGATTCTTTAACACTATCTACTAGTTTGACATAACGTTTTCGCTCAGCAATATTTTGGCTCCTAAATAAATCAAAAATGTTATAAACATATATCCAACAACATTATCGAGTACTCTAACCTAAATAGACTATCGGTGATGAGTAATGTTTCAATTGCTAATGCTTCATTGGCTTTTTCCACATGGCTAATTCCATAAAAAGCTCTAGTTGATTCAGACTGCAATATTTTATAAAAATTCTCTAATACTTTCAATTCACTTAGTGCTTTTGTATCTTCAAGTTTAGAAGCTATTGATGGATTTGTAAGCACTTCTAAAAAATTAAAACCATAATGAAATTATATTAAATAAAAATTAAAACATACTCAAAATTTACAAATAATTAAGAACTCACTAAACAATCAACCAAAAATAATTATAGTCAGTGCATTTAACTAAAACATGATCATATTGCAGCCAACATGGGAGATTAATTATATTCTAGAACTTGATCAATGTACACAAACTAACTTGTTCTAAATCTGAATAGAGGATGTATATTGTGTAGTGTTGATGGTAAATTGTAAATTTTAATAAAAGAAAGATAATAGAATTCAATTATTTTTAATATATAAATAAATAAACAAATAGTTTATGTGTAGAAATAAATTTATAAAAGCTTAACTTGGAGTATTATTATAATTGTAATGTATGACTAGTTTCGAAATAAAAATAATTCTTAAGACTTAAAGAGTGGTGATTTAATTTTTTTCATATTCAGTCACAAATTTATTAACTTTGTACATAACTAATGATTAGGTTTAGGGATTTATAGTTCTAAAACCTACACAAATATGCTTCTAAAATTACTAAAATATGCATTTATATGGATTAAAAAAAAAAAAAAAAAAAAAAAGACTATATGATACACAAAATAAAACGTGTCCATCGGATGTAAATGTATCTTTAAACTCCGAAACAAAACTTTGTAATCGGTTACTCGTAGACTTGTTGTACTTTTGGCATTACACAATGTTATAAAATATACGCGTACAATGTTTTACGTATGATTCGACGTTGTGTGGTTGCGAGACACAAAAACAAAGACAAATAATAATCAACTGAACTGAATACTAAACAAATAATCTATTATTCTTTATCGACTATTATCTTTATCGAAATCTGGTCGATATTTAATGGGTTATATAGTAGATAAGAGTTTATAGTATTATTTATATTTACACAAAAATTATAAAGAAATATGAGAGGTAGTTTGCAGATAGCATATTACTGGAAATATTAGTTCCTCTAAATACATTTTTTTTTCAATCGGTTGAAATATGTATATATGTTATATGTATCTAAAGTTTTTAATTTTAAATAATAAATTTGAAAAATTTGTCAACATATGCAAAATAAGCATAAAAATTTTAAAATATGCACTCTCATGCAAAATTTATCAAATATGCAAAAATATGAACATTCAAATTTTAGATCTGATACCATAGCAACGAGAAACAAATTTATTTCGCACTCTGCTATATTTAACAATAATTAAAAAAAGTATGCAAATGCTAGAATTCCCTAAGCCTATTAATGATGATTTTTTAATTCGAAACCGATCATTTTATACAAATATAATAATACTTCAGACTATGCTTTTATTTAGTTATTTATTTATGTATTAATTTATAAGTATTAACCATTTAATAATTTTTTATTTTTGTTAATATTTTTTATTTTTATTTAATCCTATTGATTATGGAAACAGTTGGAATCATATGTATGGAATATATGACACTTTTACATGTGTAAATAAATATAAAAAAAAAAATAAACTTGTTAGAAATTACCTTTTAGTGAATGTTTAAACCCACTGGATGCATGAGCTGTAATAAATTTGGATTTGTTTTCTAAAATGGTTTTGTTATCATTTTTAACAGCTTCTTGTATTATATATTCATAAAATTGATCTTTTACAAAACCAGGACTTGCAATTATTGTGCACTTAACAATATCAAATCTGATATGACGCAAAATTGCTTGCATTACTAAGTCAAAAAATTTTAAAATTCCCTATATTTTAAGGATTATAATTAGTCATTAACTATGTATTCCAGAAGAAAAAAATTTTTAAATACTTTTTCATGTTGCTTAATATCTCCTTTTCGCTTCCGAGGAATATTTTGGTCAATTTTGGCACGTACTATTGTCCGACTTCCAGAAATTAAGCAAATATGTGCTAAACCTTCTTGCATTATTACCGCTGCCACATCAGCTGTCTAAAATTACTTAGTTTATATTTGTTAAAGTATAAAAATAAAGCATAAAAAAAAACCTGAGTCGGGTCAGTAGCCATTTCAATTCTTCCTAAATCAATTGAATCCCATTCTTCTTTCATAAGTGTAAATTTTCTATTCAATTCTAAATCAATGGTATGATAGGCACCCATCTACATAAAAAATAAAAAAATATATTATGAAACATGTTAAAGAAGAAAAAATACTTACTTTGACGTATTCATTTTCTTCGATATTTCTGCCTTTTAACCGCAATAAGCAAGCTTGGGTGTCAAAGTCTACTGACTCTACATTTACAGTTAATGTTGTTCTCACTCGATGGCTAGTAGATGATCCAGTAGATGATTCATTTTGTACTTTTCTATAATTATTTAATATTGAATATATATTTTTGTAGACAAAGGTTAACTGAAATTACCCTTGTTGTCAAAGCATAAAAGATATCATAAAAAAAAAAAATCTGAACTCTAACTTTACATACAGAAACTATGAAACCTTGATTAATTTCATATTAATTTCAATTAATAACTATAAATTTCATAAAGGTTATTTTTAAATTTGATACACTACAACTTTATACAGAGGTGGTTTTACGGGGGGGGGGGGGGGGGTTCAGGGGTCTGGATCCCCCTAAAAGTCATACATTAAGAGGACGTCACACCCGCATGTGTTATCTCTGTCTGATATATGTAAAAGATAGCAAATTCGCATTCAATGATTTAAATGTGGTGATATTAGCTTTAGTATTAGATTAAATTGACCTATAATTAAACTTTAAGGGAAGAACATTATCTGTATTTTGTTGGTCGGTTCTTTTCCGATGTTTTAATTTTTTAACGAGTTATGATGTTTTTTTAAATTTATATTTTACATACTCATAACACGTTTAAACATTAAAATATCGGAAAAAACCGACCAACAAAACACAGATGTTCTTAAAATTTGATTATAGGTCAGTTTAATTTAATATTAAAGCTAACATCACTACATTTGAATCAATGAATGCAAATTTGCTATGTTGTACATATATCAAACGGAGACAACACATGCATGTATGTCTCCTTAAAGTTGTGATGTATTACATTTTATATATTTTGTCTTGTAACTATAATGCTATGCTATTTTTTTTTTTTTTTTTTTGTTAGTGTAAGAATTACATTTTAAGACTTTAAGTAATAAATTATTAATGGGTTGAAATTTTTTTGTTTTTATATATTATAAAATAATGTAAAAGGGCACCTCCAGAAAAAATGTAAAATCCGCTACTGCTATTATATAATACTTTTAGTTTCTGTAATTTTTTTATCATATCTTCAATCATTATTGATCTTGTTATTGTAACAATAATCAGTTTAGAAATACTTGTAATCATTACCTTATAGTAGATGCTCTTATTCTATCTCCTTCTCTAATAATATTATATGCCTGCCACATATCTTCAGCTTCTTCAGGTATAAGTACAACAACCCTACAAAATATATTCAAAATGCATTTTCTTTTTCTTTTTTTTTGCTTCTTATATAATTATCGGTATAAAATCCGTTAGCGTGGAACCTTTTTTAATACAAACCCTTTGCCATCTTTTTCAATGTCTTTATGAACAAGTTTCATTTTGTTATTCACTTATTTCTTATTGGAAACAGTCATCAGTCATCACAAGACAATTAATATAATCAATACGTTACATGTTATTCTTAAAAATGTTTTGCGAGGCTTTTTACTTAGATTTATCATGATTATTAAATACTAAACAAGTTAACCCTTGAACATAATTTGACGGAACGATTAACGTTAAGAAAAAGATAATACACGAGGATAATAGTTAAATGATAATTTCATGCAACATGATAAGTGATAAGATAAAGTTCATTAATTATTAATTATAATAGACTGTCAATAAATTATACTTTAAAAATATATTAATCCATGCATTTTGAAACTTTGAAATATATTTGAAATTGTACGTGTATAATCTTATGTATTTTTGTTTATAAATCGAAGATCTTTTATTAAATCTGACTTGTAATCAACAAATGTTTTGGATGCACTGATTTACTTTTTTAAGCCCTGGTTTTTTATTTTCTTATTTTTACCGCACATTTTGCAAAAAGGAAATCAACTAACAGACACTCTTAGTTTCCTAAGTAGGAAGTATTAAAAATTCGTGCAATTTTTTTCATTGACAGTTGAAATATACTTTTTAAAAGTAATGTTAATTTCTAGTGATAAATCACACTGAATTTTACCATGGATGATCGCTGGCAAATTTTTTTTGAGAAATTTCCAGATACAGTGACTACTGAACAGTTGCCGGTAAAATTACCTAGATTTGACTTGGATTTATGTGATTTAGCTGGAGCTGCAGCCGACTGGTGTAATCAGTATTTGAAAGACAGGTATTTTATATAAATATCATTAACCATCTATCTAATCCATCATGAAAGTTTCTAAAATAATTTTTTTAATGAATGATATAAAAAAATCGTCATGTCTAAGCAAAGAATAGAAAAATTAAATATCAATAATATTTTACAAACTTTTTATTTTCCAATAAAATATTAATACAATCTCATTGTATTAAATTAGTATTTATATTAGAAGTAGATTGGTACATTTAAAATTTTTTGTTTTATTTTATTAGAAATTTTTTTTAATATTGAATATGTTAGAAATATCAATAATTTGACAAAGTAATTTATGTCACTCTATTTTTGTTGTAAAATTAATTGATTAATTAATAACTATCCATAAATTGAAATTTTTGCCTATCTTCAAAACATATTAGTTTATTGGAATAATTAAATAAAATTATTGAATTGTGTTTTATATTATAAATTCTGATAGTTTAATTATTGCTTTAATAGCACATTTTTTTTTTTTAATTTAACAAATTTTCACTATTTAATAACCATAATATAAATAATTGAAAATATTATATGTATTGAATCCAGTGGTATCGAAATCTAAATTTATATGTCCGGTGAGTCACCTACTCACCCATTCACTTATTAACAGAAAATGTAGAAATTTTCTACTAAATGTAAACAATTTATTTCCTTAGTATACAGTATATTTATCAGATGTTAGAAGGGTACCAATTATAACTTGTTTTCTTAACTTAATATTTTCTCAAGGAATATTCTTTCATAGATTTCTACTTTATTTAATTATCCTGGCCACAGAATATTCACTCTCGAAATAAAATGTTATATGTATGATGACCGTTATACATGAACATGGACTTAGACGCCACTGATTGTTTCTATTATTTATACTTAAACTTTAAAAACAATATAATTTATAAGTTGTAGAATTAAAAAAAATGTTAGTTCAAATCTGTATTTATTTAAATAATTCATAGTGAAACACATCTTAAATGTATAAAATTGGATCAACTTCCAAAATCCTGACAAATTAAACAAACTTAATCGTAGCCTTTAACCATAATCTAACCTTATGAACAGTATTATTGACAGGTACATTTTTTTTGATTAGTAATACTTTTGTGTGACTTATATATTGAGAAAATTAAATATAATGCAAAGGAAACATGTACGTTTACATTTGATCTTTAATTTGCTTTATTTTATATTTATTATTTTTTAGAAAATGCCCCTATGATCTTATTACATTTTTAACTCAGAAAACCATTAACAATTTAAGAGTACAATGGGCAGTAGATCGGAAATTATTTGGATATAGATCTGAAAAAGAAGGTTTGCAATTTTTATCTCATATTTAATTGAAAATTATAAAATATTATATTTTATTTATTACAATTTAATCAAATACTATTATAATGAAATATGTTATATTAGATTATCAAGCATTATGGTTAATGCAACGGGTAATTGCTGAATTAAATGAAGTTTGTTTGAATCATGCTACAATTATTCCATATCATCAACCCATATCATTTCCTATTTGGTGGTCATCATTTGTTTTAAAAAATGCTAGACGACAAATGGAAGATTATATATCAGTTATTCCTTATCTACACACATTGTTTGAAGTTAAAGTATGTTTCATATATTATAATTCATAACCTTCTTACTGACAATTATACTTATAGATTAACTGAGAAAAATTTTAATTATTATTTTATGCTTTAATTTATACTAAAACATTTTTTTTTTTCGTATATGATAAAAATGTTGATTTAATATTGAAAGTATGTGCAACAGGATTATGGTGAAGCTTCTTTTTATGCAGTTTATGATGGTCATAATGGTTTAGATGCTGCTGTTTATAGTTCCATGTATTTACATCAACATTTAGTACAGTCAATGCATTATCCTGCTGATCCTGAAAAAGCCCTATATGAAGCATTTTTCACTACAGATAATGGTTTTACTCAAAAAACTGAAAAATATGTTAGTTTTTAAATTCTTTTTTATTAACATTTTTATTATGAAATAATTTATTTTTTATTAATTTTTTAGAATTTAGTCAGTGGAACAACTGCTGTTTGTGCATTACATAGACCTCAAGAGAAAAAACTTTTTGTGGGTTGGGTTGGTGATTCAATTGCAACTCTATGGAAGAATGGAACTCCTTTATGTTTAGTAAATAAACATGTTCCTGAAAGACATGTATGTTATACATTTAATTTAATATAACTTGTAACTATTAAAAATTGTATATTTTCCTATTTTTTTTAAATATTGTAATTCTTGGATATTCATCTATAAATTTTTTGTAAGTCTTCATTACTTTAAAATTAAAATGTTCATGTGGTAAAATGTAACTCATTGAAATGTAGTGTAATTTTATTGTTGTAGATGTTTAAACTCGACTAGATTTTAATTGAGAATACTTAAGGACAATTAAAAATATTTACTATATTATATATTATATTATATTATATATTATATTTTACTATTAATATTTCATGAAACATATATATAACTTATAACACTTATATATAAAAAATGTTCTTGTTCTTACTTTTTTATATCTGAGTAAAGTGGAAGCACTTTTATAAATAATAATTGACTATTATTACAAACATAAAGTTATCAGTTTAAGTAAAAAAAAATATAAAAAATAATAAAATATGAACAAATCCATAAAAGAAAACAATGTTTTTAACTACATTATGTCAATTTTAATTTTTTTATTAGAACTATATTTAGAGTAGGTATTTAACTCATTGAATCATAAAATAATAATAAAGTACTAGCATAATTAAATAAGATTTATATTGTATTGTAAATAGCTGTCAATTTTTTTATTATCGATTTTTTATCCTTTACTAGTTTCTAAACTTTATTTTTGTGTCATTAATCTTTAAGACATAATAGGTTTAAATAATAAATAATTGCTAATTAAATCCAAATAATAATTATTGTAAACATTCAAATATAAAATATTTTAAATTTTCAAAACTTCTTTCGTATAGATCTGTGTAGTTCATTTAGAGATGTTATTATAATAAACAAAAAAAAAATTGTTAAACATTTTTGAATATTGCTTTGTTATAGAGTTTAGCTAAAGTACATCACAACTGCATGTGTTGTCTCCTTCTGATATACGTACAACATAGCAAATTTGCGTTCAGTGACTTAAATGTAGTGATGTTAGCTTTAGTATAAGAGTAAACTGACCTATAATCAAAATTTAAGAGAAGAACATTATCTGTGTTTTGTTGGTCGGTTTTTTCTTATATTTTAATTTTTTAGCGAGTTATGGTATATTTTACATATTCATAACATGCTTAAAAATTAAAATATCGGAAAAAAACTGACCACCAAAACACAGATAATGTTCTTTCCTAAAAGTTTGATTATAGGTCAATTTACTTTAATATTAAAGCTAATTTCACTACATTTGAACTACTGAACGCAAACTTACTATGTTGTACATATATCAGATGGAGACAATACATGCGGGTGTGGCGTCCTCTTAAGTTAAAAACCAAAAGTTCTTCGTACATAATACTGAATTAAGCAGTATTTTATAATTAGCAATGTTTTATAATTTTTGCATGATAATAGGGCAATATAATAAAATTATAAACATTTATTTTTTTAATTTAGTTTAGTGTTAAACTTACTCATTAAACAACATGTATTGCTATAGAAATAGTTAAAGAATAGGGTAGTTTTTAATTATTATGTAAACTTGTTTAATAAAATGAGAAATATTTAATAATTTTATCTACAAAATAATTTTAGGATGAAACTCAAAGAATTGAAAACGAAGGCGGAATAGTTTCTAAATGTCAAGGTATTTGGCGTGTTGATGGTCAATTGGCAGTATCCAGAGCTATTGGTAAGTAATATTTTTAAACTCAATATATTATACATTTTTTGTTTATCGTTGTGTTATATAATAATGCCATCTATATTATTTAATAATGAAAATCTTACTAAGAATCTGAAATGGAAATATTATTGTATTAAAATTAGTTTAGTTTTTATATCACTTTAAAGTCCCAAAATCTACTATTTTGCAATTGATAAATATAAAGTTTTTATTGGTTATTATAGGAGATGTCAAGTATAAGCCACATATTACATGTCAACCAGAAATGAGAACATTAGTTTTAGATGGGAATGAAGAATTTCTAGTTTTGTGTAGTGATGGCCTTTGGGAGAGTACAACACCTGAAGATGTATCAGAAACTATTTACAATGAATTGCTTGAAACTGATGGTGAGTGAAATAAATTTTATATACTCATAAGGGTGAATTTAGTCAGTTTCTACTGTCCCTGGACGCCATGTTAATGTCAGTACATAAAAGTGACCCTAGTCAAATGTTAAAGCTTTTACATAAAAGATAAATAGTCATTTTTGACTTGTTTTCCCCACAAAATAGCTCTTTGGTAATAAAAGACTAATTGAGAAGGGTCCATCCTTTATGTCTTATAAAAATCAATACATGTTCTTTACAACTATTCTAGTATTTATTAAACATTATTTTATAACAATTTCTGTATTATTTATTTAATCATTAGTTATATTTTTCATAATTAAATCTAAATAACTGGATAATAGATTGTGGTTTTTTAAAAGGCTCTATTGATATTGATATTGAGAATTTTCTCCAAATAACCTTGGTTGCATGTCCTTGTTTGATTATTAAGGGGGCTGGCATTCAGAAAGTATTAAGTCCTATGCACCAGTCATGTCGATCGTTTTCCTTCCACTTAAATGAAGACTGAGGTCTGAAAGAATATAATATTTTTATTGTTATCTCCCACCACGGTGTGCATTATTTACCACTTGGTTTTTACATTAATTTTCGTCAATACGACATTGATCAAATGTTATCATAGAGTGTTTTTGTTTGGATTTTCATTTTTACATTTTCCAATAACTACGTGATATTTTTCTTTAATTTGTGATTCAATTAATATTATTAAGTTAGTTCACTGGATTTGATTTTTGACCGGGTTAGTAATTTTTATTTTAAGCACATGAAAATTTAAAACTAATCTTGTCAGAGATTTGTATTTAGATTTATATAATTTTAAAAATATAATATATTGTTATCGTATATACCTATATTATCTTGAGAAATTGAATATTTATTTTTAATGTTTAAAATATTATAAAAAAATGTTTACCTACATTTTTAAGCTACAGGCAATTAAAACGTCTTATACTTCTGTTACGTATCTATTCCATAGATTAAGTATTCATAAAGTCTTATATATATTCGAGAAAAAAATTGTATTTGTATAACTGTATTATAATTGTTGTGTGCTTGTCATTTTGTGTAAGTAGCTTTTTATTTTCGTGATTAAATTTATACAAATTATTGTTTTTAGTATGTTTATTTTTCCACACATTTTTCAAATCATAGTGCATTATAATCTTAAATCTTCATGAATTACGAGAACAATAATATGTTTTTATCATTAAATAATGAACCATACTCTAATTGTTGATACTTCGTATACCAATCACTTTGTTTACGATTACTTATAATTTCCTGGATTCTTCAAAATAACATGTTTATTACATGATTTTATCGACCCGTTAAGTCGTCCACTCTTAAACGATTTTTAGGGCATCATGAGAAAATTACATATGTTCAAGGTCTTTTCATCAAATCTCTATTGTAATTGGTCACGCATCATTTGTATTGTAGTTTTTCTTTTATACTTTGTGTATAACCTTCTTGTTATACAAATCTTAATATCCACCTTCAAAACATATTTTGATTTCATTCCAATTTTTTCACTATTTATTTGGTTTCATAAATTAATTTAAGAATTGTGAAAAAATTAATGTTTTTGAACTAAGTAGTCGTAAATTAATTTTTCAGTAGATTCCAGTTGATGTTACATAAATATTAATTATTTACAAACATATAACAATTATTGTTTGATTTTGATGGTTTATCAGTTTTTTAATAATTATTATAGATTAATTTGATTGTATTAGCTGAATCGCCTATATAATTATAATATAAATATCTAATTAATAATCTAATATTTATAGTACTTATAGAAAAATATTAATATTTCGAAATTACAATTAAAAATGATTGAGTTGACTACATTTTATAAAATTTTTGTCATACAATTAATACTGCATTTTTATTAGAGTGTATGCAATAATTGATATACTGTGTAAATAATTTAAAACACATTGAATTTTTAAAAATTAAAATTAAATAACGATAATTACGACTACCAATATAGGTACCTACTTTGTTTTATAAAGTCTGTGTAGTATCCTAATTGGCAGGATGTCCTCCAACCGTGATTGATACTATCAGTATTTTATTGTATACCACTGGCAAACACAGGAAGTGCGCATTGTGACTATTCATATAGCCGTATAATGTATAAGTACTAAAGGAGACAGTGGTTTGTGGTTATTGGTCATCATAAGAAAAATCTGGATACTAGTAACTTTTCATCATATTCATAAAAGTCAAAATTACTTTAATTATTTCAATTTTATGACAAATTGTCAGTTATAATTGTTTTATAGTCTAAATATTTTAAATATTAATAATTTTTTCCTAGTAAAAAAATTTATTTTAAAATATGTATTCTAAAAACACGATAGTTAAAACATTTAAATTTTACGATATTTTATTACAAAAAAAAAATGTATTATTGCTTGATACATGTTATGAACTATACCAAATTTTTAGTTATAACAAAATACGGTAATTAAAAAGTTTGGAAACTATGCTAGTTATAATTATTATAACTTATAATGGATTAGCTAAAGATGGGAGGAGATAGAAAAAGGCGTAATTATTTTTATTAGTAAGATCAATGATTTAAATAAATAAAAATGCCATAACCAATGAAAGACAATCAATTTCGGCATTTATAATTGCTATTTAATTACTTCTTTTTGACGAAGCTCTTAAATTTTACAACATATTTTATTAAAACACAATTTTTTAAAATAATTCAGATCAAACATATTTTTACATTTATACATTATACATTTTACTATGATAGCAGATAGATTTTAACAATTTTGTAAATTACTTATGTTATAATAATTTATTTAATAATAATTTTTAATTTTACTATATATATTAAAACTACAATAGACAATACTAACTACAATTAAGCTCATAATACCTGTTTTATTTTTACTTACGTACATAGGCGTAATTAGAGGGGCGTAATAGGGTTTTTAGCACCCCTGAGTTAAAATGTAGTACTCCTGTTTTATTTTTTCAGATCTATATAATCTATAGTAATTACAGTTAAATACTACCATTTTATTATATTTTCAGCAATTTCAGCACCCCCAATATTTGAGCTCTAGTTGCGCCCACGCCTACGTAGAGTTTTAGGAACATTTTATCGCACAATTTAAATTTAAAATGTTTCAATTTTTATTTTAGCTTCTAGTTTTGATTATAATATATAACTACACATGTTACTATTTCTGAATATAAAATAATATTGATAAACAATGGACGAAGTAAAAACATTATAATTTATCGATTTCGAAGTTTTGAAAAACAAATACCATACATTAAGTATTTATATTTTAAAATATATATTATTATATATATATTTAACTTGAGAAAATTGTTGTCTGTACATTTTTGTATTTGTATATCAGTATTTGCGAGTGCTGTATACTGTGTGTACTCCTTTATGTGCATGGATGTCCTTTTATATACTTCGACTAACGACAAACATTTTATGAGGCGCCGCATTCCAAAGATTAACCCGGATATCACGTACTTAAGACTCTATATTGTTTATTTCGGTAGATGACCTCAACACGCGTTTAAGCACGTTTTAGGATGCAAATTTTATCATCAATTTTTCAATAGAATTCAAATTGTTATTTTGGAGTAGTGTATAACTGTAATTTGTGTTTAAAAAAAAAAAACAATATTAGCTGTATAATAGGAATTTAAATTCAAAATTATAATCACGTAATATTTATTAAGGCAACGCATTATAATTATAAATAAGTTTATAACTGTCATATTTACATTGTGTATTTAGAAAAATTTGGAAAAAAACTAACCAAATATGAAGTATTTTCTATCCGAAAAATTATCATGCATTATATATAGTTTACATATTTATTATTAAATCTCATCGATAAGCAATCATTTTTTGAAATTTCTCTTTCTTTATCATCAATAGTGCAGCCTGAATCTATTAAATATTTTTTGTGTTGATTCTTATGGTTATAATCAATAAAACAATTTACATAAATAAATACTAGTCATGTATAATATCTTTGTAGTACCTAGTCTATCTTTGGTTCATTGCATTTTTCTTTCGTTCTCTCTTTTCTTTCTCTTTTGTTTGAACTTTTTCAATTGTGCAACGAACGATTATTATTTATAAATAGTATCTTTACATTGTTATCATACTTATATTTTTACTTATTTGACACTTCATGATTTTTAATATTGTTTTAAAGTTAAAACGCTCGCACATTTCCACCTACACCTTAACACTGTTTTGACTAAGTACCATTTGCCATAAGTTTCTTTATTTTTAGTATTATTTTCTGATTGTATAATGTGTCATTGGCAAAAACGATACGATCTATGTATACAATGAAAAACAACTGTCAAATATATACATGTATATATTATTCGCTCGTAGTATAAACAATTTCATGATCCATGTTAATAGTATTCATGACTCATTCGCACGGACACCCTCTTTCTCTTTTAACAGTGACGTCACTTTTCCGTTCAAATGGCCCTTGGCCCCTGTGTAATTTGTCGTTGTTGGATGTCCCCACTGTACAAATATATAGTTTGATCAATGAAAAACGTGTGATGTAAAAAAAGTATTAAATCTAGCCATCTAGGTTTATTTCCCTTGATTATTTTAATGTTACTATACTAACTTGTTCTTATACTATTGCTGTGGTAACGAATTAGATATATTTTTAATAAATACTATTCTAGTAAGTTAAATGATTAAATTGTATAACACCTTAAAATTTGATTATATTTTTGTTCTTATAGTTTTAATATTTTAAATTCACTAATCATCAATAATGTTCAATTTAACTTACTATTATAATTAATGATGCATTCAATTTTAAGTATATCCAAGTAAATATTTATACACGATTAAACATTTTACATACTTTTTATTTACGTTACGTTCATGGCATTTTATCAAATATCTTGGTTCAAACGACGATGCTATCTTTATGGTTATTTTTTTCTTTTCGAAAAACTTA